GCCCTGCTGTAATCCTACAAAAGTGAAAAGGATCAAAACAATGCTAGGAACAATTGTACATCAACAAACCTTTCACAGATGAGAAGGGAAAAGTCTAGAAACACAACAAATCACCTAAACTGATGGGGGCTGAAGGGAGCTATAAAAAGATTTGGACTCACTAATTAAACCCCTTCAAAGAAAAACTGAAGACTAGATGTCATCATTGGTGAATTCTATGAAATACTTTAAGAATCAACACTAATCCTTTTCAAACCATTGCAAGAGACTAACTTCCTAACTCATTTGATAAAGCTCAATTATCCTATCAAAGTCAAATAAAGACATCAAACAAAAAGTTACAGACCAACAGCCTTTACTAATATAGATGCAGAATTCTTCAACAAAATGTTAGTAAATTCAGTTCAACATAGCAAAAGTATCAACACTACAAAGTGAGATTTAACCTAAGAATCCATGGATGGCTCCACCATATCTGACAGAGGGTTGATTTCCAACATATACTCAAGAACTCAAGAAGCTAGTCACCAAAACACCAAACAACCCAATTAAAAAGTGGTATACAAAACTAAATAGAGAATTCTCAATAGAGGAATTTAAAATGGCTGAAAGACACTTAAGAAAGTTCTCAACATCCTTAGCCATCAGGGAAATGCAAATCAAAACAACTCTGAGATAGCATCTTACTTCTGTCAGAATGGCTAAAATCAAAGACACCAATGACAGTTTATATTTAATATGTAAAATAAGACTGCTTCTAAAAAAGAAAAGAAAAATCAGCATAACACAATTAATAGAACAAAGGGGAGAAAGGGGAGAAAAATCACATGATCACCATCATTGAATAAAAAAGCAAACAATACCATTTCAAGATGCAAACACTCAGAAATTATGCTCCCTTTCTCTTCAATTCATCCTATTCTCTTTATTGGTTTTTGAACCCCTGGGGAGCACACTCAAGCTCAGGACTCTCAGTCTCCTCCACCTGAGACCCTACAAAGAACCATGCTGGCTAGGCGGAGACTTGCATAGGTAGCAAAGTCTTCTTGAAGGAATCAGGTAACTAACTCGGGGAAGGAACTCCAACCTCTACAGTCTTCAGCCTTTTGAAGCTTAAGTTCAAGTGGCATACTGGGGCTCAAGACCAGGATCGCCTACCTTACAGAAAAACCCTGGACTTGTAAGCATGGAAGACAGAGCGAGCCTTCTCACAGTCTGTGCCTGTTTCTTTGTCAACTCAGAAGCTTGCAAACTCACATTGCAAAGGCAGCCAACTTCTCACTAGCCTTTATGGGAAAGGTCTCCACATATGTTCCCTTTCAGATTTGTAAAACATTAAAGCAAAAACAAACAAACAAAAACAAACAAACAAAAAAAACAAAAAAAAAAAGAAAGAAAGAAAGAAAGAAAAACAACCTGAATCAAGGATCTCTGTGAGAAGCTGCCTAAGACTCATGAATGTTATGTAGCCAAGTTCCTCTGCCCTTCCAGAGGCCAATCCTCCTGGATGGCACAAACACGCCCTTCTAGAAAAAGCAGTAAGGCATGACTCAGGGCAATTCCATTTGCATTTAGTCTGTGAACTCTTTTACCTTTAACTTCTCAAGCCCTTCTTATCTTTATATAAAATGGAATGGTGTGACTATTCAAAATGCATCCAATGGTTAATTCCTTGCCTGGCATTTTTACATTACTGTTTGCTCAGCCTTTTGGAGTCCCAAGGTTAGACTTTATGTTATGGGAAGTAGAGAGAGAATGCAACTGACTCAAGCTCACATAAGCAATAACCAAAAGGGTCAGGGGCTCAAATCCAGGCCACTGTTCTTTTGAATTCCTTCTCTTGCCACCCTCTGCCCAAGCAGCCTATTATGGGAACCTTAGAAAGCAATGCATTCAAAGAACACACTTTCAATTCTAAGACACAGTTTAAAAGTGCTAAGTAATGCTACATCAGAGAGGAAGAGCTAGAGCCCATTCAAAAGATTTTAACAGGGAAGAATTACTTTTCTCCTGATGGTACTTTTCTCCTGATGGTAATGATGTTTCTTATACTTCACAGATTCTCAATTGAAATAATAATACCACTGAAAAGAAGCAAAGGGACTAAGGAGATATGTCTCCAGAGATAAACCACTGACCAAACACATATGAAAAATATTATTATTAGCTGTCAGGAAAATGTAAGTCAGAATCACAATGAGGTACCACTGGAGATACTAGGGAGGCTACATTAAAAGAGCCAATAGCAAGTGTTGGCAAGAAGCCCTCTCACACGGGTAGAGTGAATGCAAAACACCTGATCTCTGGCAAACAAGCTTGGAAGTTCCTTAAAATTGAAACTTAAACATAATTTATGCACAAGCATTTGCAGCAATACGAAGTAAAACACACATGTTCTTTAGCTGATGATTTTTAAAGTGTGACACATCCATGGACTTAAACATGAAACAAAGAAATGCTATCAATTTCAGCAAATGTATGTCTGGAGATGGATCCATACAAGTTATTACTGTCATCATCATTCCTAGGGAAAGGGGCTGGAGTAATGGCTAGACAGTTAAGAACCTAGAGCCGAGGTTGCTGTTCTAAGAGGGCCTGGGTTCACTTCCCAGCACTCACACGGTAGCTTACAACTGTCTGTTACTCCAGTCCCAGGGGATCCATGGGCATCGCATGTGCATGGTGCACCAAACACATACAGGCAAAACACTCACATATGTAAAATAAAGGGGTGTGGGGGGGGGACCTGGGGAATGAGGTCAAAGAAGATGATACGCTTACATGAAAACATTTTTAACAAACCCAGGATGAGGCTGAGGAGATAGGTTAGTAAAAGTGCTCGCCACACAAACATGAAAATCAGCATTCACAAGAGCCAGGTCATGACTTGTGCTTATAAACCCCAGTACTGGGAAGCAGAGACAGGCAGCTCCTGGGACTTGTTAGATAGCCAATCTAGACTGGTCAGCAAACTCCAGATCCCTGTTTCAGTTGATAAAGACACCTGCTGCCAGGCCTGGCTACCTGAGTCAGATGGTAGGAGAGCCAACTCCCACAAGTTGTCCTCCAGCTCCACATGTAATATATATAGGCGTAATAAATACACATATATACACATAAATAAAATACATAAAATATAATTTTAAAAAAGAAACAGGAACCAGGAAGATGGCTTCTGAGCAACAACCCCGAGGTTGATCTCTGCCCTCCACATACACAGACAAAACCACAATTACACACACTGAATATGTGCCAACCAAAACCACAGCCCCAGTATCATTCTTGTTCCCCAGTTCCTTCAGAAGCAGGAAGCCCTATGTGTAAGCTCCAGATAGGTAGGGTTTTCCATTTACTCACTGTAATATCCTTGTGGTTAGAGCCTGTAAGTAATGGATTGACCATAAAAGAGGGCTTAACCTAGAATAAATGGATGCTCTTGGGAGTCCACAAGCCTCCAAAATTGTATGCAAAATCTAACATGTGTACTGGCATGTGCATATTTTTGGTGACTGAGTTCATAGTTCAGTCAGATTCTAAAGATGTCTATGGCCAAGGAGAGGTTAATTTTTTTTTCTTGGCTAGAACAGTCAAAATGGTTGAAACAAATCTGTACAATAAAATGCTATCCAACAGCTCCATCTATGGGTGAGTAATTATCACTTGGTAGAAATGGGGACAACCATCAGGAGCAAGTGTGCCTCAGGGATGCGCGTGCTGAGACAAACTTTCAGTGTCACTCTAATGTGAGTTTATTAAGTACAGCATCACAGCTTCTTCTTCCCAGGGGTAGACGCAAAAATTAGGAGGTGGTTGATAAATTCTATTTACAGTACTTCAGCACCAAAAACTTGGGCAGTTATGCTGATAAATGTATATACAGTTCAACATGTCAGTCTTAAAATGCATATTTATAGTGAAATTCATATAAAACCGTTAAAAACTTTTCTATTTACACTTTTTAAAAATGCAAAGTATAGTTTCTTTTGCCACAGCTTGTCAAAATTCTTACCCTCCCATCCCTTACCCTTCACTTAACTTGTGACAGACAGCAATCACAAGACCAAAAACAGCACGTAAACAAACTGCTCCCTAAAAAAGTAAAAACTTAAAAACATTACATTTAGAACTGTTAAGTGAACGTTTTCATACATTTCAAAGGGGCTTAAACAAAAGTAGTAAAAGTTGTTCTCAAAGTCTCTGTCCAACATGGGTGTGCAACTTCAGTATCAAGAGAGCATCAAGCGAACGGAGTCCATTTTCCTTAACACAACTCAACATTTCCTTTGGGCCAGAAATGTCTTTTTTTCCTCTGTTTCTCCGACCAAACCTTCTCTAATCCATTTTCTTAAGGGGGTAGGGGAGGTGGGAAGACCAGGCGATCCAGCTTCCTAGACATGTAGGAGGAGGGATTCAGCCTGCTTGGAAACATTTACATTAAATAAATAGGCAAGTGTGGAACACCACAATAAATTAGTATACAACCAAGGAGCATATACAAGTCACCCCAGACACTTCCCGGTCAGAGATCTGATGTTTACCCTCTAGTAAGGACTCTTTAATGCTAGAACTTTCCTAGGTATTCATAAACTAATCATGAACTGAGCAAATGTAAAATGTTAACCAAATCAATACTTCCAGGGATATGCAAAAACAAACACGATTTAAAAAAAAAACAAACTGTTCAGATACATCATTTCAAAAATACAAACTCTTCACAGCCTCCTTTCTTTTCCTTTAATATTCTCTGGTGGCATTTGCTCAGCAGAAAGCAGCTGAGAACGACTCACAGGAAAGTTTCTTCCCACTGCCCAGATCCAGCAAGGAGCCAGGCCTCCATGAGTGTACATCTTTTCTTTAGCTTTTTTTTTCTTTTTCCTCTATTTTTTTTTTTTTAAAAAGTACATTCCTCTGTGAGTTTTATCTTGTTAAAATGCTGCTCCTGCAGCAACGTTTCATTGAAACACTGTGTTTCTAGGTCCACAGCCTAAATACGAACAAAGTGCTTTTTTTTTTTTTTAAGACAACAAATTATAAGTTTCCCTGGACACTTGGTAACCAAGCAGGCTTTAAAGTGCACTCCGGTGTCTGAACACTAGGACCGTTCAGCAGAGGTCTGAGAGGGGCTGGGCTCAGTTCCATCCTCCGTGCTGCTGTCTACATCCTGCTCCATTGCTGTCTCATCGTCATCCAGCTGCTGACTGGTGAAGTTGTTCAGTTCAAGAAGCCCACTGGGCTCCACTACCACATTGGAGCTGGAGTGACAAGGAATAGCGTACTGGGGAATGGCCTGAAAGAGAAGACGCAGGAGAGTATGTTTATAGTGAAAAGAAGGTAATGGGAGAATGCCTCCCCAAACTAAGCACAGAAAACAGAAAACTGGCATGGACCAGACAACCCCTACAACAAGCACTGCACTAGATCTCACACATGGCATTCAACTGCATCCTGTGACAATGCTGTATGGAAACTATAAGCAAACATGAAGTGAGAGATGTCCTCAAGGTCACACAGCTGTCAAGGTCAATGCTGGATTTGACCTCAAATCTGGTACAACTCAGAGTGGCCTTGGCGCTCCTTTATGGGTACAACAAAGAAGGCTAACACTATTGCAAATTTAGAAGGTAGGCTTTATAGAATACTTTCATCTTATCTTACTAGTCTTTTGTTTGTTTGTTTTAAAAGGAATTCATTATTAAGTCCTGGATGACTTAGAACTGACTATATATATATATATATATATATATATATATATATATATATATATATATATATATATAAAAGTGGCCTCAAACTCACAGAGATCCACCTGCCCCTGCCTCTCAAGTTCTGGGAATAAAAGCATGACCATCACAGCCTGAATTATACAATATTTTTGTTCATCTTCAAGATGAATGACTGGTTGCTGACACACAATAAATTTTAAGCTTCTTTGGTGATTCAAAGAGGTGACCAATTTGTTTAGTCATCGCACAAACACCTTTACTGCAATTAAGTAGTGAAAGTAGTCAAATATAAGAGAATGCCATTTAAACAACTAAAAAAATATTACTAGGTGAGCACTGGTTAAGGCTCCTTGGTAAGTACTTATTGGTGACTTGTGACTTATAATCCTATCAGGTTCTTTTTTCTTCATAACTTTTTTTTTTTTGTGTGTGTGTGTGTGGGGGGGGGTTCTCATGTATCCCAAGCTGGCCTTGAACAGACTATGTAGCTTGAACAGACTGAGATGACCTTAAACTTCTGATCTTCCTGCCTCTACCTCCCCAAGTGTGGGGATTGCAAGCATGCACTACCATGCCTGGCTATAGATACCTTTTAACAAGGAATATCAGTTATGTCACACCTCTTCTCCTAATCCTGGGCATGAATGAACTGTACTTTCATTCCTGCTAATACAATGCAGAAAAATAATTTTCAACTAAGTCATCCCAAATGAGTATGGCAATCTAAATCCCCAGTTGTCACAATCCATTTTAGTAAAATCAGTAACCGTTACCATCTGTTAGACAAACACTAAGGCAGTCACTGTGCTAGGTGCTTAATTTTATTAACATTTACATAGATTCTATAAATCAGGTACCACATATTCCCACTACCAATGAAGAAACTGAGGCAAAAGTAACATTAGTAGTCCAGCCCAGAGTAGGGAATGTCAAAACCAGAAACCCATCTCTTTCCCAAAACAGCCCACCTCTTCAGGTTAAAAAAACAAACAAACAAAAAACCAAAAGAAAAACAAAAAACACAGCAATCACAACAAAACCTTTTGTTAAGAAATATGTAACTCACTAAGTTCATTTTTATAGATGAAAATTATTTGAATAATTTTACAACTACTTTGACTTATCTTAATTATCAAGCCCTCATATTTAATTATGTCTCATTTGGTTTAACAATGGTCAATTAGTATTCTCTCACAGCTTAACAATATTGCAAATGGAAAGCTTATTACATGAACTTTGAAGCATATACAATGGCTCTATATGCCAGTTCTAAATTATCTACAGGACTGTAAGTGGGAATTCTCGATGAACTTAAATGGGCTGCTCTGAAACTTTGCAAACTATGTACCAGTTTGGAGCAAATAAAAACTGCCAATAACATGAGGGGGGAAAAAAACCTTAATATCTTGCATTGAGAGATGGAAACAAAACATAACTCCTAAGGGCTAGTCTAGACTCAGTTTTAGTCATCAATCTTAATCTGTAACACAGAATGACTGGTGGTTTTTAGAACAAAGAGGATAAAGGTGGAGAGGGTAGCTGTTGATGAACTGTCCACTGTGGTGACAGCACCGTACCAAGATGATTAGATAACAACACAAGAAGCCAAGTTTATGGTTAATGCCAAGTTAGATGTAAAAATAAATTAGAAACACTGCATACAATCCAGTCAGTTGAAGTGTGACTATTTTAGGAACCACAAATTCAGATGAGGAACAACAAATGTTTACAAAGTGTCCAAAAATAATCTAGCCCTGTGACACCCATGTATCAAACCCACAACCTCCCATCTGCCCCAGACGTGTCATTTTCCTTCTGGGTCTTACCTGGATGATAATCTCTGTTGGGCTCTCTTCAGCTTTCTTTTGGCCTACATTCTGAATACGCATGAACTGGCCTGTCGCAGGCACTCCTGCTGCTTCCATCTTTCTGGTCGTTAGGGGAGGGCCAACAGCAGATGGACTTGAACAGGACTCTCTACATTTCGCCATCCCTGCCACCACCACGTGTGTGGAGGGTACAGCTCCTGCCTCACCAGTGAGCACACCGGTGGCCAGAGCCTTCTTTGGGGGATCCACTACCATATGTTCTACATTTGTATCAATCTGAGCTTCCATCAAAGACATTTGCAAAATGTCTGACACTGCTGTCTTCTCAGAGGCCTGAATGGGAGATATGCTTGTAACTGGTGACGTCAGCTTAGGAACAGAACTGCCACCAGTTATCTTTGTAACTGTGGGAGGCTGGCGCCCCTCAAATGTTATCTTTGTAACAGAGGATCCTTGGGTTATAATTGGCTGCTCCACCTGAAAACAAATTGGGGTTGTGTGTATTATAGCTACATCTCTTTGAGGAAAAACTAATCAAACACTCCAGAAAATATGGTAAAAGAAACATTTGTGCGGTATACTAGGAAGACATTTTGAAGCTCGATGTTTTAGTAAGAGGGCTGGATGGGAAGGATCTGTTTTCTTTTAAGGAACCTAGGGAAAGAGGAGGGGTTGAAAGAACCTTTGTTCAGCCAGCCAAGCTTTGAGGCAGTAAGGAAAAAAAAAAAAAAAAAAAAAAAAAAATCACAGCAGCCTAGTTTTCCTGAGATTTACATCCCGAGATACCTTCAACGTGCTCAAATGATTTCACATAGTCTGCTCTTAAAATTAAAAGTGGTTGGATTTTTTTCAATCTCTTTCTTAAAGCACAATTGTACAAACATTCTATATATGTATTTGCGCGCGCGCATACACACTCATCAGTTCAAAATCATCACTTAGTGCTAATAAAATTTTTCTTTTGATTATCCATACATTTCCTCTGTTATCTAGATTATAAATCTAGAAGGTAAATTTTAAATTTATCAACTAGATGGTAATGATGTAAACTAGAAAGGAAGATAGATGGTCAATAACATTACTTAAAAGACTGTAGTTTACTTAGCATTACTGCTATGAATGTGAGAGTTAATAAGCATGGAGGTATGGAGCTATCATTTTCATGCACTGCTGGTTACTGCTGAAGTGATTTCTTTAGAAACTGCCTAGGAAAGCACACTCTGAGAGCTGTGCTTTCCTCTGTATCAGTATGTGTGCTTCCCCCAAGAACAATACCAGCATAATGAGGCTTTTGGGTTTCTGTTGCTTGGAGAAAGCATTGCTAGCTTTCTCCTCACCTACCCCCAACCCAACCCGTGTGAACAGAGAAGAAACTTTGCAAGTTATCAAAATTCTGTTACCTGGCTTGCCGGCTGTTTCTCTGACGAAGTGGGGAGTGCCATCTGGCTCTGGGGAGTTTGGGGTTGCACGTAGATTTTTGGTTGGTTTGGAGCTTGCTGCAGTTTAGGAAGCTGCTGTGTGGTTTTCACAGCAAGTACCTGTACTACAGTTTGCGGGGGCTGTGCCATTAAGGTAGGAAGCTGCCTGTCTTTGGCTACCACAGGATGCTGTGTGTGCTGTGCATCTGGCTTGGGCTGTGCTTGTTCCTGCTGGAGAGGAGTCAGTTTCTGATGCCTGATGGAGAGCTGGGGCATCTGTGTGAGTTTGTGCTGGAGTTGGTCTGCTTGCAGGTGGATGGTCTGCTTCTGTTTGGTCTGGAAGCACTGCAGAGTTTTCACTTGCAGCTGAGTCTGTTCCAGCTGAGGCTGGCTAAGTTTCTGCTGCTTAGTCGATTGCGATTGAGTCAGGGCAGATCGGTAAAACAGACCTGTCTGAGGATCCAATGTGTCCATCTCTTCAACCTCACCCTCCTCAGTTCCAAGTTCCTCACTGTGTTTGGTAAAAGCAGTATGACTGCTTAATGCCTAAGTACAAGAGACACAAAGTAAGGATGAAATAAGAAAAAACACCCACGGTGTTACATTTTTTCTTGAACTAGAAAATACTAGATTCATTCTGATATTTTTAAAGGAGCCTAAAATGTCCAAAAAGCCTCACAGGCTTTTAATTAAAACTTACAATATGAACTCTCAGACAGTAAGTACCTCAAAATTCAGTCCATTCATTCTTGTAGGGAAAGTCCTGAAGAACCCCAAATTATAGAATAGAGGAATAATGTGACTTTACACACAGCCCATAAAGAACAGAGAGGCTTCCCAGCTCAGGAGCCACCCTGATGCTTGTGCTTGAGAGACGCTCAGCTGTCTAAAAACAAGGCAGCAAGTCTAAAAACAAGGCAGCGACTGAGTGAGGAGTCAGGCATCCAGAATAAAACCAAGACTCAGGAAAGCCCACTCTAGCCACATGCATGCCCTTAGTCCCAAAGATCAGCTGTACCGTCTGGGAGATGTGACCACCCCAATTCCTACAGCAGGCCTCCCTAAGACATTGTGTCACCAAGGTCTATGAGTCTCAGAGTCCAGACTCACTAGGCCATAGCTTCCTAGAGTCCTGTTTCCTAGGAGTAAGCCACGGGACAAGCCATTCCTCTTCATGGGAAAGGAGACTATCTAGGGTCAGCTAAGAAAGCACTGGGGGGGAGAAATCACTCTGAGTGATACTATTAGAGCCAGCCTATCTGACCTCTATGTGTCTTAGGAAAGATCAATGTCAAGACCTTGTACCAGTGAAGGTCAGACTAAGATCTACCACCCAGTGAAATCTTGTGAGACAACAAAATCCACCTTATCCCTAACACTCCTGCTGCCTTGTCACACACTGTGCCACTACTCTAACTTCAAAACTAGAACTTGCCCTTGGATCAAGTCTTGGTACACACACACAGTTTTGATTCAATACCTCTTCACTGACTCTCAGGTAGGTAGCAGAGTGAGGTTTTACTGCTGATGGCAGCCAAGTGACAAGGACTTAAGGGAATACTAAGGAAAGTCATAGTTGAAACTGATACCCAAAATGAAGCTATATGGCAGAATTGTCACTATGACTTTGGCTAGTAATCTTAGTGAGATGTACTTATAGCTCAAAGCATGGTGCCACACAAAAATCAACTTAACGCAGCTTTCTTTTTCCTCTCTAGCCTTAATACAAGGTGTTTCTATCTGATATTATTAGTTCACTTCCTTCCCCTTGGGTCTTCTTTAATTGGTCACATATAATTAAAGGAGTAAACTATTTCTTTCCCTTCTTGTTCATAATGGTCTTGCAAGGATTCATTATAAAGTATAAAATAAAAGTAAAAGCAAACTCAGCAGCAGACAGCTAAACAAGCAATATGCCATTTCATTTTGAAAAAAATCTTACTTCTACCATTAGTAAATCCATCTATAGTGTTAAGAGACACAAACAGTGACCAACTCTGATGTTAGGAGACTCACCCAGACAGCCCAACCCTTCTAAAATGCTGAGTCTCTAGAATGTTTAAAAAAAAAAAAAAAAAAAAAAAAAAAAATCTGCTTTCTAATTATTTCCTGGTGTTCAGATCCCCCAATTCATACTCAAATAGAGTCTGATGGATGACCTTCACTGATGGAGAGTTACACATATATTCTACAATTCAGGCATGTCTCCTTTTTCAAACAGAAAATAAAATTGAACCTTATTTCGGAAATAAAGTGGTTACAGACTGAAAGAGGAAAAAGAAGAGATACAACCTGTTGCATAATGTGGGTGATTGCTCCAGGGGAAGACGCTGGGATGGACTTTACCACCACTGAAGTCTGTGTTGCAGTCTGTGACTGAGCCACATGTTGGAGCAGGGTCCGCTGAGGCTGGGAAGGCTGTTGGGGCTGGGAGCGATGGCTGACTGAAAATAGAGGAGGTGGTGATGTTTCTCCTGAAATCACCACAGCAACTGTAAGCAGTGACCAATCATTTTAAACATGCATTGTATCCCACAGGGTGGCACTGCAAACTATGAGGCAGAAGGCCAGAACTTGCCCATCTAGGAACTGTGTGACCCTAAAAGTCTCTTATAAAACTGCTTCCTCAGATGAGGAACAACAGAACTAGTGTATGACGAGGGGAAAGTATAGAGAGGCACTGTGAAAATTGCCTTTCAAGTGGCATCCGCTTGTGAACTGTTGGGTTTTCTCCAGTGATTTTTGGTTCAGTGAGGTCACAGGGAAACAATGCATTTTCACAACCCAGACACATCATTAAGGAAAGTGGAAAAGAATGCAGTCCAAACACCAGCATTGCTCCTTTATAAGAGACACTGCTTCACAGATTCACAGTCCCTGAAAATGTTAGAGGACAAAACGATGCTGCAGAAGGAATCTTGTCCTACTCTGTTCCAACCACTCCTGCGAATCTGAGGCCACCTGTTTTCTATTAAAGCACCAAAACTCAAAGGCTGGCTCTGTTTGCCTGTATTTGAATGGGATAATAACAGCTTGCTATTTTTTCCTTACAGGAGGCAAATGAAAACAATGGGTTGAAAATGGTCCTTAGATAAGTAAAGTATCAACAGGAAGAAAAGTTTGTTCTGCCTCTGTGTTTTAGCTCAACAGACCAGCAAGAGTGAAGTTGCAGGACCAACCCCACTTCCCCCTCTCCCACCACAGGGCTGGTTCAAACTACCCATCCACACAGGTGCCAATCTTTATCATAATTTACCAGCCCCTGTATCTTTTTTTTTTTTTTTTTTTTTTTTTTTTATGTGCATTGGTGTTTTGCTATTGGTGTTGGGTCTCCTGGATCTGGAGTTTCAGGCAGTTGTGAGCTGCCATGTGGGTTCTGAGAATTAAACCTGGGTCCTCTGGAAGAGCAGTCAGTGCTCTTAACCACTGAACCATCTCTCCAGTCCCCTACAAGCCTCAACTTCAAGTTTAAACAGCATAGACACCTGCCACATCCAAATCCATAGACACTCAAATACCTTTAGCTACTGGGAAGGAAACCCTTAAATCAATAGGTTTTAAAAAAAAAAAAATCTATAAATGAGCTAAGGGTTTTGAGAGTATGAAAACTCCTCCAATAATCCATAATTGTAAGGTTATGTAGCTTATCTTCAATTCCAAACAGTAGTGATACATGCTTAGAAACATCTGAATGCCCACCCAAGTGTGGGCTGCACCTATGCACCTACAGACCAAAGTATCTGTGTGGTAGTCAAAGAACTAAATTTAATTATGACTATGATTACAATGTTCTTTTCTTTACACACTCACAAATACAGAGCTTCTCTTTAACTACAAATATAGTTACATGTGCCATGAGATTACAGAGTGCATCACCTGGACTCCTTTTATACTGCACTATATTATTTCACTGCATTTCACAGTATGCTTTTATGTATATTTTAAATTATATGACTGAATAAAAATCTTCCACATAGTCTCAGCTAAATTAAAATAAAGACCCAGGATTTACAATAAACAACTACTAAAATTGTTTACAACAAGACTAAATAGGAGAAAAAATAAATTATGACATTAAACATAAGCAAATCAATGAAAAACTTAAATGAAAGCATTATCAAAAATGAATGATATCTGAAAGGTAATAAATTTCTGGTGAAATTGTCAGATTATATAGACTATTTTGATACCCATACTAGTTTTCATAATTATTCGAGGTTTTTTTTTTTTAAGATTTATTTATTCATTTAATTTATTTGTTTTGGTGTGTGTGTGTGTGTGTGTGTGTGTGTGTGTGTGTGTGTGTTACACCATATGTATCTGGGTGCCTATAGGGACCAAAGGAAGATGTCTGATAACCTAGAGCTTGAGTTACAGGTGATTGTGAACCACCCAATATGGGTGCTGGGAACCAAACTCAGGACCTCTAGAAAAGCAGCAATCACTCTTAATTGCTGAACCATCTCTTCAGCCCTGATAGTAAGACTTTTAAATTAAAGAAACAAATTGGATATAACAAAAGATCAAATGACACTATGTAAAAATAATTCTCCTTCAAGATCCTATAAATATTTTTCACACCAAAGGCATAGAGTGTATGTAGGTCACTAAGGTTCAGTGAAACCACAGAAAACTAACATTCACTACAGAATAAAACAGGGCCTAGAGCAGCTGGCTTTAAAGTCAAAGCAAATGCTCAATACTACTGTGTATAAGAGGTAAAGACAATAGGAGGTCACAGAAAGAACATTTGTGAAATGGGTGACGCGACTTTAGCTAGCCCACATAAGCCCCATAAATAGTCATTTGTTTCTTTAAACAATTTCTTTCTTTTTCTTTTTCTTTTTTTTTTTTCCTTCCAGCAAAGTGCTCATTTCCCCACTACTTTGAAAAATAACATTTCCTTCCCTTCACTAAGTGGAGCTTACCTTCCCTCTACCAGAGCAGAGCGCATCCATTTAAGTAGTTCACCCACAATTAATCATCGTCTAACTTTCATTGTACTACAAATGGATGCACACCACTTACCTAGAAGGGGAAAAGCAACCTCTGTCCCCTCATCAGTGCGTTCTGAAAAGGATAAGTAAGGGAAGAGATCACAGGTCTTTTCATCTATTTACTACATGCTAGGCTAGGCTACTGGAGAGGCACATTCAGTTCCCCAGCACACCAGCCTCTGCACCAACTGGTTTTCTGCTAAGTGTCTGTGACGTTGACAGTTTTCTATTATCTTCACTGGATTTTCTTTCTGGGCAGTTTTAACCCATCAGTCCTAGTATCTCCTCAATTATGCTATTAAAAAAAAAAAAAAAAAAAAAACCCTCCCTTTTCTCTGTGACATCTGGAAACCTCAAATACCTGAAGTTATATTCTCCTTTAATCACTGCATACATAAACACAAGTCAAGAGCTTGCCCCATACATCTGCTCTCCTCACCCCTAGATTATTCACATCATGAATTTAACCAGATCTTGAGCTAAAGAAGTATCAAAAAACAGAAGCAATATTCCAGGTATGACCTCACCTGAATGAAAGACAAAGAATTTCACTTCTCCATAGGTACTATCCCCCAAATCTCATTAGTATTCTGTTGCCAGACCATAATTAAATATCTAATCTACTTTTCGTGTGTGACCATATGTGTATTCTTATGTGTTCTTGTGTCTGTGTGTATGTGTGAGAAGGGGGTGGGGTGGTAGGATGGGAGAGAGAAAGACTGATTGAGATTAAAGTCAGGGAAACCCCAAAAATGATGTCAATCTGTTCTGAAAACAAAAAGGAAAAGAGCTAAAATATAAAGATATGTTCTCCCCCAAATGAGCACCCCATGAAATTCACAAAGGCAGCACTACCTTAATACTATGTTTTAGAGGACACCTACCAGTGGTGATGTATTCAGCAACTAGTTCTGACTCTACCACAGCAATGGATGGACTCTCAGGAGAATGTCTCTTTTCCTGGGTCATCTGAATAGGTACTGCCATTTGACTCAAGTCAATAGTGGGTTGTCTTGGTTTAGATTCCAATTTTTCCTTTACTGCATAAAAAAGTCGGGGAAAAGTTAACTTTTATTAAAAACAAGTACTAAAACCAGAGTTGTCTATGGGAATAATGAACCAGACCTCTGGGACGCCATATTGGCAGTGACTAAAAAGACAATGAATTGAAAACTGCAGGCTGCTCAGTATGGTTGTATAGCCTACAACCTACATAACCATATCCAGCAGCCTACAATAATCCATATTCAATCACACTCAAGTCCCCCTACTATGCCAGACAGCCAGTTGTTTCTCTTTATATACTCCTCCTGGGATGTTATTTCCTTTGTATTCAAAGTAATTGCTGTTACCCTCAGTTAACAACAACATAATCTGTTCTGGGGCATATCTCAGAATAGCACTTCCCATTGATTAGTTCATTTGACCTACTAAAAATCCAAGGGCCTGGGAATGTTACCCAGAGGTCAGGTGCTTGTCCAGCATGCACATGGTCTTGAGTTTGATCCACAGCACAAGGGGGAAATTCATACAGCCTTTACTGAGGGAGGAGGATTGCTGATTTCAATGTTGTACTAAGCTATATCCAGACCAGCCTGAGCTATAGATTGAGACCTTGTATGTATGTATGTATGTATGTATGTATGTATGTATGATGTGTATGTATATGTAAGTGTATGTGTATGTAATTAAAGATATGGCAAAAAAAGTTACATGTTACAAGTCTTTAGTGATTCTTAAAGAATAAAACTTAAAGCTTTTCACTGTTAGGAAAAAAAATAGGTGCTCTGCTTCTGTCTGTCTAAAATATCTGATAAAAACAGCCTGTAATTAATAGTGGTATATGTATAGATACATTTTTTTTTTTTACTTCTTACCACTTTTTCAATAAAAATATCTTTACTCAACATTTCTATCCATATAAATGATTGATGGAAATGACTGAATCTGTCAAAGACAAACCCCTGAAGAAGTGCCTGGGCGAGCAGTGGTGGCATGAATCTTTAATCCCAGCACTTGGGAGGCAGAGGCAGGTGGATCTCTGTGAGTCTGAGGCCAGCCTGGTAAGTTCCAGGTCAGCCAAGGCTACACACAGAAACTCTGTCTTGAAAAACAAAAAACAATAAAAGAAAAGACATGACCAAGGCTAAAAATAATATTAATAGATGGAATCATTTACAATTTACATCAACCATAAGTATACAGTGTAGCATGGAATTTACAATAAATAGTATTCAGTAACTAAGTCAACTAAAAGACTGCTCCCACCAAAAGTGCAGAATGTGACAAGACAAAACAAAACAATCATTTTAAAGAGATGGCCCTAGTCACCATCCTGCCACTGACCAAGTAGGTAACTGTTTTCAATCTCAACTAGCTTCTCTAAAACAAAAAAGGGTTAGATGAAATTGTCACTAAAACCCCTAAAATATTCATGTAATTGCTGTCCTATTATAGCAGAAAACTCAACTTACATAGGGTTGTCCTAGAAGCTATCAAAGCTATTTAGTAACTAGAAACACTGATAGGATCTTACTATACATAGACACGCTAGTGGATAACCTACACAAAAAATAAATCTGAAAATAAGGTGAGAACAAATGAGAATGTTTACAAGCAAGTTTAATAGCATTTTATGGCACAAAATTGCTCTGATAGCATCAATGAGGACAATAAGGACCCTTCGATCTGTGTCCTGCTTGTGCTTACAAGTGACAAATCCACTCCATTCTTCTGGCAAGAGGATTGTCCATTTGAAATACAAGTTAGCTCTATCTACTCTATCTGACTACTAATGATAACACTCCACACTTCTATGTACATCTTCAAGAACAATAACTGTACCAATGATTATAAACAAGTCCAGAGGGGGAGGAATGTGCAAACACTATGCAATTGTGGTGTATTTTAACACAACCCGTCTCTAGAGAAAACATGCTTCATTCAGTTGAGCATGTGAATTCATACCTGTTGTCTGTTGGAGTTCTAACAGTGCTTTGATTGTTGAAGTAGCTGATTGTGATTCACTGGATACATCCTGATATATTATGGTGGGGCTAGTCTCCATTGCAATCTCATGTTCTGACCAATCCTGACGTCGGGAAGCAATTACATGAACTACAGGCTGGGAATCTGTTTTATATTAGTTAAAAAAAAACAAACCCTATAAACAAAAGTTTCTCTTAAAATAAAGCAGTTTTTTTGTTTATCTTTGTATTTAATGTAAACGTCAAACTTGACTTCTCTAAAAAGACTGTAAGCTATCAGAAGGCATAGTGTCTCTCACTTCTGAATTCATTTATTCACTTCTGAATTCATTTATTCACTTCTGAATCATTTATTCACTCACTCACTTCTTTTACACTAGACACCTGTGTATCAGAATCCATATTTAAAGGACTTCAAGAAACTCACAAAATAATCCAAGAATGCTCAAAAAGCACAGTCTGTTTGAGACGACAAACATGTAAAAAGACAAAGTATAATTCAATATGTTAACTGCTGTCTACACAGGTGTGCATTTATATAGGTGAATGCTTGTTTGTGTTAACTAAAATCAGGAGACTGATTTTCTCCAATGCACATGAAAATGGTTTCTATATACAGCCTAAGTACTTGGGAACATTTGGCTGAATTGAAGGTAAGAAAAGAGAGAAAGACAGTCTAGACACATCATGATGTAACAAAATTGTAACAGAGGTCAAAGCCAAGTGAAAGCTTCAACCCTGTCAGTTACTAGAAAGTCGATTCTTTGGGTCTTAGCTCTATTGTTTAATAAGAACAAGATCTATAGATATAACACACTGATAGTCTGTGCTGCTTAATGACAAGAATATATTCTGAGAAATACCTTAGGCAATGCTGTCATTGTGAGAGCATACTTACATACTTGGAAGTAATAGCTTGCTACATGTAAGCTATATGGCACACCCTATAACGGTCATCATAAACTTATAGACCAAAACATTATTGTTAGGTACATGATGATACATAAATAATATTTATGAACTATAAAGGTCAGTTGAAATGTGGTTATCGGGGGTGGGGTAATAGAAAACTCAATCCTATGACTTTCAGTTGGTTTGAAAATAAATTCCACCACTAATATAAAGGTTTTTATACATTCAGTTTGTAGAGGCACACATGTAAACACAAAATGTGCATCGGATTAAGCAACACATAACATACTTAGGAGTTTTCTATAAAACAAACAGGTTGGAGCACTTTGTCTAAGACATTGCATAAGAAAATGGAGAGGATACAAGGATAGATCCCTAATGCTCAGATCTAGATATTGTAATGGGGGAAACAAAATTGATAGATAGCTTCACATCCTGGGATAAACATCAAATGATTAAAACAAGGAAAGATGATGTTTTTCATTGAGTCCCTTAGTAGAAGCATCAGAAAAGCCTTCTGGTGGGTCAAAATGAAAAGGCATGGAGGTTCACCCTCTAAAAACATTACATTTCTGAAAGTCAGGAGGCTGCCCAAAAATACTGGAGTAAGGGAAAAATTCTTCCTGAAGGAAATAATATGCAAGAGGTTCAGAATGTTTAATCACCACTAAACACGTTGGATGTGGTAGCACAGGCCTGTAAGCCCAGAATATGAGAGATGAAATAAGAGGAACAGGAGTTTGAGATCAGACTCAACTATATGAGACCCCCATCTTTAAAAAACAAAAAGACTACTCCAAAGCAAAAACAAACAAAAATCCTGAGTAGAAAACATCATACCAGAGACACACAATTTCTGTTAAGCTTCAAACCACATAAAAGATCAGCTGTTAATCTATAATGCCAAAGGCCATGTGAAGAATACTGCAGTTTTTCTTCATATATTCTAAGACAATATGCAGAAAATTTTGTTTGTTTAGAGACAGGGTCTCATGCAACCAAAATGACCTTGACCTCTTTCCTGAGCCCACTGCTTTCATCTTCTAAATGCTGGGATTTGCAGGTATATACCACCATGCTCTTTATCCAGTGCTAGGGATGGAACCCAAGCCTTCATGTATACCAGACAAGTACTTTTTCAACTGAGATACAGCCCTAATGTCCCAATATGCAAACTTTTAATTTGAGAACCAATTATACTAGGGAAATACTACTTTATGTAACTTAAGATCTTAAAAATAAGAATGATGAGCACAAGACTATGTTGTGGAACAATCTTTTTGTACACTGTGAAGATGTGTTGCTCTCATTGGTTTAATAAAGAGCTAAATGGCCAATAGTTAGGCAGAAAGAGATACAGGCAGGAGAGCCAGACAGAGAGAAGTCTGGGAAGAAGGGTAGAGTCACCAGGGGGGGATGAAGAGGGAGCAAGATGTACAAGAGGACAGGTAAATGCCACAAGTTATGTGGCAACATGCAGATTGGTAAATACGGGTTAATTTAAGTTGTAAGAGCTAATTAGTAACAACCCTAAGCTATCAGCCAAGCTTTTATAATTAAATAAGAAGTCTCCATGTAGTTATTTGGGAGTTGGCAGGTGGGGCAGAATAGCATGCTACAAAGATGAGCACTCACAAGAAGAGTATAAACTGGATGCCACATAATCTGGGCCACATAGTTTCAGATTAGTCTGGACCTCTGTCTCAGAAATGAACAAATTCTCATTGATGATATAGACAAAGAGAGTCTTGCTATGTGGTGTTGGAATATCCCTTTAATCCCAGCACTTGGGAGGCAGAGGCAGGCAGATCTCTGTGAGCTCGAGGCCAGCCTGGTCAACAAAGTGAGTTCTAAGACAGCCAAGGCTACACAGAGAAACCCTGTCTCAAAAAAACAAAACAAAACCAAAAAAAAAAAAAAAAAACAGGAGAGAGAGAGTCGCTCTGCAACCCAACTCTGAGAAACACTGAATATTCAGTGTAGTGACTGTGTAAACATAAGGTAGAAAAAGATTGAAAAGAGTAACAAAGTTCTTTACAGGACTATTAACCAAATAACATCTCTTCAAATAAAACCATTCCATAGGGACTGGGAGATTGTGCCATCTCTTTCTGACCATACAGAGAAGCTGATGATCACCAAGTATCAGACAGCAACCCCAACAGTTATGATACAAAATGAGGATGAGAACGTAGGTGAAAACTCTTGATGGTCACCCCTTTCTATTCTTTTGACTTAAGCTCAGACCTAGTGATCAATTGTGGGTCACCAGAAGTCTGATCTGACTAATACTACCTGTTTATGCTATATGCATTCAGGTGTCTATACTTCTAACATTTTACCATGACAATGTGGTCTGCAGTGTATTGGCACGTCCAGAACTAGACTTTCATACTTTAAGTATAGTGGCCTGCTGAGATTTTTATTACAGGTTATTTAACAATTATTTATTGGATGTCTACTACATGTTAAATACCAGAAATCCATACTTTAGCATTATATTCAAAGGCAAACTCAGGCATCTCTATAGAAGAATACCTCCTGCCTTTATCATAAAGTGTCTCTATCATACTTTCATAGTCTTAAAGACAACTCAGTCAGAAGAGAACTTAAAAGTCAATGTTATGATCCACCCTACATGAGTCCCACATGCAAGTGTCATCAGAGAACCCACTGCTTTCTTTCTAACAGTCCCTTTTCATTTTTGCTTATATAACTGTGATATACAGTTTTCTTACATTAAGTAAAATTTGGTCTTCCTATGATTTCTACAACAGTACTATTGTCTGTTCACATATCCATAAAGACCAATTTACTTCCTTCATTTATATCACACACCTCCACATCACCAACAGCTCCCAGACCACTCCCACCCAACCCATCTCACCAAGCCTTCCTCACAGAAAATGACTGACAGATGTCTAACCTCCCTAAGCCATCTCTTCTAAGCTAAACCCAAGTTGTTTATATTCCTTCTATGCTGTAATATAAATCTTCCCTCTGAAGCATTGCCCCAATGTTCTAGGAAGAGCAATTCCACAAATTTTTCTGTAAAAATAGGTTCTGTAGTCAAAAACACTGGGGAACATTTTGTTATGTATATTATATCCTAATTATCATCTTTAACAATATAAATTACCAAATAAATTAGCTGATGAAATTCTGCAAAAAGTACATTTTGTATAACCTTTTTTTTTTTTTTTTTTTTTAAATCATCTTCACTCTGAACTCCAAAGATCATGAATCTTATCTTAAGGAAAAATAAGGCCAGAAACTGAGTTCTGAATTAAAACAATGTCTTTACAACATTTATTTTCACATTTGTCGCAAGTTCAGTTTCTTTCAATATCTACTCTGAATTTATCTCCTTGTTTTCTTCTGGTTTGCTTAATGTAATCTTGCATTTAATCAACCTTAAAACCTTACAGATGGGAGGTGGTGGCACATACTTTTAGTCACAGCACTTAAAAGACATAGGCAGGTAAATCTCTCAGGCCAGCCTGGTCTACAGAGCAAGTATCAGAACAGCCAGGGCTACACAAAGAAACCCTATGTCAAAAAAAAAAAAAAAAAAAAAAAAAAGAAAAACAAAAACACAAAACAAACAAACAAACTCCCTCCCCCCCTCAAAAAAAGAAAGAAACTTTTAGACATAAAGCTGGATATAAATGAAAAAATAATAATGCTTTTTAAAAACCTGAAAACCAGTAAGGATACCCTTTACAAGGAAGAAAGGAAAAAACAGAAGAACCATTTAGGAAGGAAAAAGAAAAAGCACAGTAGCTTCAGAAAACATATGGTAATTTCAGTGAGTGACCTAGGCAAAAATGTCCTTGATCTAACTAACAGTCTTGGTTAACTCACTATTAGTATCCATGCCATAGTCTAGAGCATCTTCATAGTTAAGAGAAAATGCCAAGAGGAAACAATGGTAGGAATGAGGCAATTAAAATGAGTTTAAGCACGAAGCTTAATCATTCCCTGGTTATTATTATTTTCCTTGAGACACTAACAAAGAAGATCATAATAATAAAAAGTACAAAACAGATTAACATTAAAAAAGCAGTATCAGAAGCATAATGCAGTGGGGTAAAGTCTCACATCAGGAAGATGCCCAAGGCTGCTTCTACTCTATCTGTGAAGAAACAGTTTAGGAATTAGATATGGGGCCTAGATGTCTCCTTGTGGGGATGAGTATACCAAGAAGGAATCTCCTTAGAAACTACAAATGAAATCAAGGGATTCCCTTGAAATAAAGCATCCTTATTCCAGAGCACATATAAGAAAAACCTTTGAAAAGGACTTTTGAAGGGGGAGAAAAAAAAAAAAAAAAAGAATAATGAACTTTAGAAAAATATATACAGATGCTAAATTTTTAGATAAGTGATTAATGAGGAACACTATATTTATAGTCTTAGAGTGTCTCCTCCCAAATCACTATTAATCTCAAAGAGGAATATGTTAACTTCACAATGGAGAAACTAGATAGAAGCAATCATCCTAACCAAGTGACCACTGTTCTTCTCATCGATGTGGTAAATGGACATCATATGTCTTCTGATGAAGTTGAGAAACATCATCTACCTGTGCAATTTGTACTGAAACAAATCTTGAGGAAGCATCAGACAAAACCTAGTCGAAAAAAGAGTCTACCAAGTAACACACCTCAACTCTTCAAAAATGCCATAGTCAAAGGGGAAAATGGGGATTAAGAGGCTATCTAGGCCAAAAAATAATAAAGAATGATGATGGTATCAGAAGTGATGGTTCATACATTTAATTCCAGCATTTGGGAGGCTGAGGCAAAAAGATCTCCATGAGTTTCAGGCTAGCCTGGGCTACAAAATGAGATCCTATCTCAAGAAACTAAAGAGAACAAAGTCTTTAATCCCAGGACTCAGGAGGAAGAGGCAGGCGGGTATTTTTTTAGTGCATGGCCAGCCTGGTCTACATATCAAGTTCCAAGCTAGTCAGGGTTATATGGTGTCAAGAGAAGGAAGGAGAAGAAGGAAAAAGAAAAGGAAGATGATGACAATAATGTGATAGTTGCATATGTACAGTTGATCATAATGTGTGACTCTGAGTTGGAATGTGAATAGGAGACAAAGCAATAAAGAACATCACTTATCAATTGGTAGTATGTCTACATGAAATATAAATTAGATAACATTACTTTTCTTGACTTTAATAATCGTAATTTAGTTGTAAAAAGGATAACCTGTAACAACTAGAAACCTAAAAATGTAATTTAGAGGTAAAAGAACTTAGTACCTATAACTACTCTTAACTGGCTAAAAAACTTTAAAATTGTATACACATACAATGGACAGAACAGAAAAGAAACTAGAGACAAAAGCAATAATGGAAGGCTGTGGGTATTGTTCAGTTGCAGAGTGTATGTTTAGACACACACAAGGCTATAGGTTTCATCCTCAGAACCAAAAATTAAAATACAAAAATAAAACCAGGGCTGGAGAGATAGCTCAGTGGTTAAAAACACTGGCTGCTCTTTCAGAAGACCTGGGTTTGATTCCCAGCAACCACATGGCAACTCACAACTGTCTGTAACTCTAGTCCCTGAAGATCTGATACCCTCTTCTGGCCTCTTCCAGAACCAGGCAGGCACACTGATGCACAAACATACATGTAAGCAAAACACTCATATACATAAAGAATAAATTTTTTTAAAAATGAAACAACTAACTGAGCAAATAACAAAATATAAACAAATAAGAATGACTGGTAATGAGTCACACATTGTAATGATACACAATCAGCAGAAAGATAAAACGAGGGTTAGTAAAATGAGTTGCAAAATATTACTATCTCTGATAGCAGGCTGAGGAAAACTATCCACTTTCTAAAGTAAGTTCTATATTGAAAATCAACAGCTCATTTTTTTTTTTTTAAACTAACAAGCTTTGAAAGGCCATTTTAAATTCTACTTGCTTTGTGAATGAACTGTTTCATTTTGTTGGGAGTGTGGACTTTTAGCCTTTGGCTAAATAATTTTGTTCATTACTAATAAAAAAATTGTATGCTATAACTGTATATGAATTTTTTAATTTCCTAGCCTAACTTTTAAGCTCCTACAGTACAAGAATTAGCCAGGTTTGGTGGTACACACCTGTAATCCCAGCACTTGGAACACGAAGGCAGGAGGATCAAAAGTCCATTCTCAGCTACAGAGTTAGAAGCCAGACTGTACTATATGAGACCCTATCTTTAAGGGGAAGGGGAAAAGAGGCAAGAACTCTATTTCATTCAGTTTTCATAGGGTCTAACACAGTTCTTAGCACATATTTTATTCAACATTTATAGGGTCTAACACAATTCTCAGTACATAGCACAAACAAACAAATAATTGTCAGCAAACAGCATGCAGCAACGTAAACTATGTAAAATGAATGTGAAGGCATCATTGAAGAATTAAAAATAATGAAGTGTATAATATGAAAAATTGTGCTTTCTAACAGTGCTTAAGAAAAGAAAAGCAGCAGGCAAACCAACAAGGCAAATGTAGTAGGAGAAGGAAGAGAGGAACAAGGAATAGGAGTAAAGAAGGGCAATTTTGCTTAGTTGCATCAGAGTTTATAAGCAAAGACAACATAGGCTGAAAAACTCTAATACAAAATGCTCCACAATCTGAACCTTTCTAAGCAAAGTAACACTACTAGTAGAAAATCCCACACCTGACCTCACATGATGGCCACAGTTACAACACAAGTGCAGGGAAGAAAAAAAAAAAAAAAAGAAGAAGAAGAAAACCAACTGTAAACCTACCCTCAGACTAAGTGTATAAGGTTTATATGAAACATATATGAATACCATGTTTAGACATGGATCCCATCTATAAGCTCTCTCTCCCTCCCTCTCTCTCCCCCTCTCTCTCACACACAAACAAACACTAACACACAGATACAAAATCTGAAAACAAGACACCCCCACCACCACCAAGTATTTCAGACAGGTTCCTCAGCATGTAGCACCTAATAAGGACAGTCAGGATAATTGAGTGACATGAACAGAAGACAGTCTCAGAATGTCCAGTAGACCCTGCATGTATTATTGTAAGAGACTTCCTAGAAAAATGTCATAATGACAACAATACTGAAAATTTTCTCCTGCTGTGGAGTCAGCTTCTAATAATTGGGATAACTGCTGATTACCATTTGGAATACTTCTGGGAGTTAAAGGAAATGTTATATATAATTAGGAAAAACAACAAACATAAACTAAGACTCCGTACACACTGGGATGTACAGCCACCCACTTACAGCTCACCTCTGGCCACCTAGACTCTTTCTCAAAGTTTAGCAATAATCAATTTTAAAAACACATTTCCTTTCTTGTATATTTCTTCTACTCACCCAAACCAAAGAGGAAAACCAAAAAAGTTACCATCTGAAAACTACAGTTCTCAAAGTTCAACAATAATCAATTTTAAAAACATATTCCTTTTCTTGTATTTTTCTTCTACTTACCCAAACCAAAGAGGAAAAACACAAAAGTTACCATCTGGAAACTACAGTTTCCCAGCTCCACACTACCTACCTGATAAAAAACATTCATCTAAAAAAATCTGTCAATAATTTGATGAACATGTGACATGAGGTAAGAATGGTAAGCTATATCAGAAATAAAATCTCATCTCATTTATTAAATAGGCAAAAAAAAAAAAAAAATCAAATCAAAAGAACTACCAGCATACAAGTCTGGTTTGGAATTCCTGGAAGTAACAGCTGTTTTGGAACTGAGGCACATTGTCATCAATACTTGTGTAATCAGAAGTACAGTAAGTCTTACCTTGGGAACTCTGGGAGGACTCCGTGGAAGAGGAACTACTGTCTGTGTAACCCTGTGGTTCTTCTTTTCCTTCCTGAGCAGATGAATTACCAGCCTCTGCTACCCTTGATGCTTGCTGTAATGTTTCTGTTACCAGCTGCCTTGTTTGTTCACTAACAACTGTAGCTTGAAATGTCACTGGTTTGGGTTTAATGAGAACCTAGAAAAGAAATCAGAAACATGTCCAGATGAAATTTGAGAGCACCGTTTAAATGCTAAACTACCCAGGCATGGTTGTTTATGTCAATAACCCCAGCACTTGGGAGAGGCTGGAAGACTAGCAAATTCAAAGACAGCTTTAGCTAGAATGAAATCCTTTCTCAAACAGAAACAAACAACAACACAATCTAAACTTAATAGGTAATTTTCCAGATACAGAAATTACCATTATGAATATTTCTTATTAGGTTTTGGGCCCAGTATTGCTTACCAAAGAATAATTCAATCCACAGATGAACGAGAACTAAGCTATCTACAATATTTTAAATGGGACATGCCAAACTGCAACTGCTACGATTCTTTCTTTTGTTTTTTAAATGTGTCTGTGTATGTATATGGGTGCCCTCAGAAGCCAGAAGAAGGTTTTGAATTCTCTGGAGCTAGAGTTAAATAAAAATGGTTGTGACCGTCCCCAAGTGGGTACCTGGAATGAAACTCTGGTCTTCTGGAGGAAAGAAAAGGGAGGAAAGTTTTTACCTGGCAATTCTAAATATTCAAAAGCCAGGAAAAGTTACCACATCTTACAGCATACCTGTGTTTTCCCTTGTTGTCCATAGACAATTTTTGTTGGGATAATTTTAGCTGCTGGCTGGACTGTGGAACCTATTCCTTTGGGCTGTGTTACAATCATCTTGGTGATGGGTCTTGTAGCAGTAATGATAGCTGGCTTTGCTCCAGTTGGCACTGTCTGAAGAGTCTTTTCTCCCTAAATTGAAGTCAACCATTATTTAAGAGATCTATATACATTAAGATGATCAAAAAAAACAAACAACTATCCTTTTACTGAAAAAGCACTGAAAAAATTTGCCAGGATGGGAAAGGGATATAGATTGTACAACAAAATACATGATTTCTAAGTGATTAAAAAATCCTGAACAAAGTTGAAATAATATTACAAGTCATCTGACCAACTTTTTAGCAAAAAAAAAAAAAAAAAAGAAAGAAAGAAAAGAAAAGAAAAGAAAAAAAAATGCTTCTGTTAGGTAAGTTTTTTAAAATTCACATCTAAGAACCTATACTATCCCATTCATAGAATACCTGTTAACTAAATGTTAACAATTATTTGTCTGAGAGTTGAAATTGTAGGTCATCTCTGAAAACTCATTTTTACTTTTTAATATACTTGAAGTGAATATGTAATGAAAAAAAACTGTGCAGTATATCAACGGATAAATACACATACAAGATACGCTGGGCATATATGAAATTATAAAGGCATATATACAGCAGGATGTCTGCATAAATAAGCATGGGAAAGATGAAAAAAAGCAAAGATAGTAACATTCTAAGATTACATGGGGGAAAGGAAGAAAATTTAAAGCATTTCTCATGATTTACTAGTACATTACTAATACTACTGTACTCTATTGCAGATTCAAGGCCATTAACCTTTCACCATTTTCTGAATTTTATTCTGTCTGTCCTTCTCTCTCTTGCTCTCTCTCTCTCTCTCTGTGTGTGTGTGTGTGTGTGTGTATGTAGAGACTGTACCCAGGGCAACCCTTTGTTTTCTTCAGAAGTACCATTTTCTGATCATAGCTTTAATCTCAGCACAGTTTTATTTTAATTTAACTGAATTAGATTCAAATACAGTAATTTTATTAATAATTTTTAAATTATAATTCATAAAATTAAGTCAGCAGTTTTCACATTAACAGTTTTTTTTTAATTTTTAGCTATCATGAACATAGATGTGTAGCTTTCAAACTTAGCAGTTGGTAAGCTGAAATCACCAGCTGAGCTGTCTAAAAACCAACCACTGAGAATTCAGATCTAAATCTGAGCCTAAAAATTATAAACCTAACCATCAACTACAATTATCCAAAGGAAACAAAGTGTCTCCAATTAGGTGGTTATTTCATCTCTCACATGCTGTTTGCAGCAGTATTCCCAGAAAGAGCTCTCATTTGTCCTCCAACAGCCAGTAGTTTGCAATTATGTGGCATGCTGATCTGTAAATGACTTGACAGCCTGTCCAAGCACCGTGAGCCAAACAAAACCAGCTTGGAGGATGTCTGTCATCTGAGAAAGCACTTCTCATGGGTAGTGGACCTACACAGATGCAGATAGGGAGTATAAACACATGCTCTGTGTGCTGATGACAACTGATCCACTCATTTTACTAGCATTTCTTGCCAAACTGCTGTTCAAGTATCTACTGAACAAAACACATAGGACTCCTAGGTGTTCCATAGCAGATAACATACACTTTGGGGTGCTGAGGGTTCAAGGCAGGGTTTCTCTGGACAGTTCTGGCTGTCCTGAAATTTGCTTTGTAGACCAGGCTGGCCTGGAACTAAGAGATCTGCCTGTCTCTGCCTCCTGAGTGCTGGGATTACAGGTGTGAACCAAAACCACACGGCTATACCATTTATAAATCCAATTCTACAGAATCCTGGCTTTCCTGTTGAATTGCTATGTAAATTCAAAAAGGTCTAATGTGGACCACTTTCAGCATTATAAAAGACTATAATGCACAAGCTTTTATAATATGCTTAAAGATCTCTGTCTTCTAGTGAAGTCAGAAAAAGTAATGATGCTACTAAGCCTGAGTACTTAAATACCAAGAACAGTAAGAACCAATGACTGAGAACTTCCCATGTGTTGTTAAGACACTGTTCTTGTTCTAAGTACTTTCAAAACATCCATCATCACCCCAATGTAGACATGAAGAAATAAAAAATTACTATGGTTAAATAAGCCACCCAAGGTCAAACTACAATAGTGAGACACAAAGTCTAATGTGTCTAACTCAAACCTCTTAACAACTGCCTTCAGAGACTAAAATGGGAAAAATGGGGGGTGGGAGAGGGGAATAAGCAACAAACCTTAAGTAACAAATTCTCATCTATCAATTTTATCTTAAACTCAAAATATTTTTTTGTCCAGCCTAAATCAAAAGCTAATCTACAAGTCATAGCAGGAATAAAATTGTTCCAAGTCTTCCTGCAGCAAAGCCAGTGGAATCCGCCATCTGAACGAAGCTAAAGCATTCAAACCATGGTCACACGCCACCTGCTATGAGCAGCTATGAGTAATATGCTTTCAGATTACTGTGAAAAATGGCATCAGTTGATGATAAAGGCTATTCTATCACAGCACTAGAGAATCAAGCTGTCTCATCCACTATGGGGCTCTGATGTTCTTAGAAAAATGTTTGTATAGATGGCCTTTAAAATGCTTAGTGGAGGGCTGGAGGGATGGCTCAGAGGTTAAGAGCACTGGCTGCTCTTCCAGAGGACCCAGGTTCAATTCTCAGCACCCACATGGCAGCTCACTACTGTCTGTAACTCTGGTTCCAGGGGATCCAGCACTCTCATACAGACACACATGTAGGTAAACACCAAAGCACATAAAATAAAAAATGCTTAGTGGATTACTGAGTGTATTCAAGGTCTTACTTACTCCAGCATTTAGCAATGTTGTGACAACGTTTTTGCCAGGGAGGCCTTGAATGGTCGTTCCTTTTCCTGTAGTCTTTTGTACAACAATCACATTGGGCTTGGAAGTCATTGGGATTGTAGTAATTTTGGTAGTCGTTCCTTAGAGAAGTAGGAAGAAAAGGAGGCCTGAGTTAAGGACTGACTAGTGACACTTGGTTGTTCCTATTTGTTATGTATACAAGTAATACATGTCAAAACAATGTCATCTTTAGGTGACATGAGTGTGGTCCTAAGGACATAAATGAAGGTATGGAACAGTAAATTCTAAATTACCCCAGAATGATAAATATTAAGAATTGACTTTTTTTTTTTTTTCTTTTAAGGTTTTTGAGACAGGTTTCACTATGTAGACCAGGTTGACCTAGAACTCAGAGAGATCTGCCTAACTCTGTCTCTGCCTCTCAACTGCTGGGATTAAAGGCATGCACCACCATGTCAAGCAAGAAGTGAGTCTTAAAGCAATCCTCTTTTGAAAATCTAAGGACCTACACACCAAATACCAAATCTAAAAATATCACTGTCCATTTTTCCACCAACACTCTTTCCTGACTAGTTTAAAATTAAACAAAAAATCTTATGACATGTGTTTCTCTCAAATCTAGTATTAAACTTATGTAGCCAGCATGACAGAAAAGCTCTTCCAAAAAGGAATATTAGAGGCAAACATCAAAATTCACTAAACTGTAGAAAAAGTTAACGAAAGACATGAGACAGTGGTAGTGAACATCTGTAATCCCAGCACTGAGAGATGAAGGCAGGAAGTCTATGAGCTCTAAACCAGCTTGTGCTACAGAGTGAGACCCTACCTTTAAAAAAAATGAATTTTAATAAAACAAAAAGGTGTGACATTCAATATGTGCTTCTGAGTTTACACAACTCTAGAGACTGCAAGGAGGAAGTAGACTTTCAGGGTAAAATTGTTTTCAGCCATTAAGGTAACATTATTTTTATTATAACAAATAGCTTCAGAAAAACAAGCATCTCATGTTCTCCCTCATATTTAGATCCTGTATGCATGAAAATAAGGGGCTAAGGATGAACTGCTGTTAAGAGAGGAAGGCAGGAAGAGCAAAAAGTCGTACTGAACATCAAAGTGGGAAGGGACTACTTCTGAGAATAGGAGGGAGAAAGGGACGGACAGGGATGGGGCATAAGGGGTTAAAGAAATAAAAAATAATTTTTGTTTGAAAATGGCAAAATGAAACATAATTTTCTATAAGGCAGATAAAAGATCTACTTTCTCAGTGTATAAATCTACTGACAGAAACACATAGTGGCCTTTCCCCTACAATCTGCTTCTCTCCCATCTATCAAATCTATCTACTATCAAATTACGCTCCAAAGTCTAATTGTCCAAGTCAGAAGGCCTGGTACAAACTTTGGATTCCTGCCTTGTCTCAACTCACTGTACCTGCCAACAAAATATGACCTTTTCATGTCCCTGACACCTCAGTGTTTAGCACAGAGGGTGGCATGTGTTTTAAAATCGATACACATGATCTCAGCTCATCAGTAACATACCTTCTTTAAAAATGATATCCACACAGTCAACACTGCTATCCTCTGCCTCCCTACTGTACCTCCATTTCAAGCATCTCTGGTTTATATTCCATACCAAATCCAGCATCCTAAATGAAACCTTTTATACCAAGAATCTGAAACAGCTTAAGTTAGTTTTAAAGAGTATTCCTAATCCCCACTATATCTAGTTTCAACTTTCCCTCTTGAATGTAACAACCCTACAAGTGGGCTGACAGGATGGCATGGCAGATAAAGTGGCTTGATAGCCATGCCTGATAACTCAATTCGGTCTTTAGGCCCCACAGAGTAGGAGAAAAGCAACTCCTTCAAGTTGTCCTCTGACCTAGGCACCCCTTTCCCCCCAAAATAAATATTAAAACCAACACACAAAAATAGCAGTTTATACTGTTCCAGGCCCTTAATTTCCCAGTTTAACCATATTAGTTCCTCCTGTACACAGGAAACATAAACTGATGGTGAACTATGAGGTTTCCCACTACTTATCTGACAAAGCCCAAACTCCAGTGTGGAACTTTCAAATTTCTGACAGATTTTAAGATTGGTCAAAATACCTTTCCCTCAGTGTACTGATTTCATAGTGAGAATATTACACCCAATTTTACTTTTGCTCCTGAAATTTTCTGTGCCTAAAAATGCAGGTAGATTCTACAGGCCTGTGCAGTAAATGATTAAATACAAAATAAGAACTCAATAAAAACGTGACTAATTATTCTCAAAAATATTAAAGTTATATCATCTTCCAATGGAAAAATATTAACATTACTTACTATAATTTCAAATTAACATATTATATGAAATGATCTTATATCAAGAATAACAAGGTTCTAGTTCTGAAATTTATTCAGAAGGGGCCGGAGATGGTTCAGAGGTGAAGGGCTTGTAGTTCTTGCTGTGGACCTGAGGTCAGTGCCCAGCATCCACACAGTGCCTCATAACCATCCATAATTCCACTTTCAATGGATCCAACACCTTCTTATGACCTCCATGGGCACCAGTCATGTACATGGTGAACACACACACACACCACATACATACATACATACATACATACATACATACATATATGCAGGCAAAATACATACATAAAATAAATCTAAAAAAGTTTAAAGAATTATTTTAAAATTCTGTTAAAAGGGCTGGAGAGATGGCTCAGAGGTTAAGAGCACTGACTGTTCTTCCAGAGGTCCTGAGTTTAATTCCCAGCAACCACATGGTGGCTCACAACCATCTGTAATGAGATCTGGTGCCCTCTTCTTGAATGCAGACATACATGCATACAGAATACTGCATACAAAATAAATAAATAAATCTTTTTTTTTTAATCTGTTAAATTTGGGTAATCCTGTATAAATCTTCACAATACACTTGCTATTACCCAATGCCTCATCAGTCCAAGGTGCCACTCAGCAGGTACGTAAGAAAGCACTTGTATCTTCCAAGTAGCTTTACAATAGTTTTTTTTTCCTTGAACTACACTGTGAATAACTGAGCCATTACAACCCACAAGAACCAAGCAGCTCATTATCCACTTAAACCAACTTTAACTCCTAACTAATTCTAATACCTCATATATGATTATATAGGTCTTTTAAAACACTGGAAAATTATCAAATATTTGATAATGGAAAAGTGGTTTTAAAAGAAACTACCTCAAAGAAATATAAACTCTACTAAAATAACACCAAAATATAAGGGTCATTTTTTTAAGATAACTTGCCTAACAACTGGTTTTATTTATATGTACTAAAATACCTACCCCTGCCACTATAAATGGTTGTCATAATCAAGTCCACCAATTTAATGAATAGGGGTTGGGGATGAATAATACAAACTGGGAGAAAAGGGTTAACAGGATATAACAAGTATAACTTTGTATTAAAATGGAACATCATTCTTTTCTAGAATGACCAGTATTAAATGCCTGAAATTCCAGTGTACATGTTTCACCTAAGGAGAAATCTATGCAAAGAATGTTACACATTCAAAAAGAAAAGGCCATAGCTAGGCTTTCATAGTAGTGGATCTACACTTTTCATAATACAACAGAACCCAAATAAGCTGCTTAGCATTCTTGTTTTCCTTTAGTTGGTTTTTGTTAATTTGTTTTCTTTTACAGTTCCAGGAATCAAGCCCAGAGTCTTGTTCAAACCAGGCAACTGTTCTACCTCTCCAATCTTTATCTGTATCCCTTTTAGCATTCTTTTTTTTCCTTGGTTTTTCAAGACAGTATTTCTCTGTTAGCCCTGGCTAACCTGGAACTCACTCTGTAGACAAGGCTAGCCTTGAACTAAGCAATCCACCTGCCTCTGCCTCCCAAGTGCTGGAATTAAAGGTGTATGCCACCACACCTACATTCTGTGGATTTTTTAAATGAAGCACATAAATCTGTGTGTGTGTGTGTGTGTGTGTGTGTGTGTGTGTGTGTGTACACATTGGTGGTTTACCTGTATGTCTGTATGTCTGTATGAGGGTGTTGCATCCCCTAGAACTAGAGTTAGTTACAGACTGGTGCAAGTTGCCATGTGGGTGCTGGGAACTGAACCTGAGTCCTCTGGAAGAGCAGCCAGTGCTCTTAACTACTGAGCCATCTCTCCAGCCCCCAATCTTTTTGTTGTTATTGTTTCTTCAGGTAGGGTCTGTCTATGTAGCCCTAGCTGTCCTGGAACTCACTCTGCAGACCAGTCTGGCCTCAAACACAGGGAGATCCCAGTGCTTGTTTCTCAAGTGCTGGGATTAAAGGTATGCACCACAACTTCCTGATCATTTAGCATTTTTTTTTACAGCACATTCTGAGTCCCGTGTACATGCTTATGTATCACAGCACCACATATAGAATCTGACATTTCAGAGAACCTATCAATAGAGACTATATTTAAAAAGGGTAAAAACAATGGAACCAAACAACCACATTTGGATCACAATGGGCTCTCTGATAATGGTAACAAATTCCAAAGATTTTTTTTCCTTTGGATGTGTGGGGGTGTGTGCTTGCAAACTGCAAGGTAAAAGATCTGCACATTCAAAGATATCTTAGGTAATATAGCTGGTATGAGGCCAGCCTGGAATAGTGAGAGATTCTGTCTCAAACAGTAACATAAACTATGAAAAAATCAAAATGATTAAAGCCAGGCTTTTGGTGGTGTCAGCCTACACTACTCAAGAGACTAAAGCAGAAGGATCACAAGTTCTAAGCCTGAAAAACTCAGCAAGAACCTGATTCAAAATAAAATGCTGAATGGGATGGGAGAAAAGTACTGAGGAGTGCTGTTCAGGGAAGGTGTTCACTGAGCATCCCATCAGGTTTGGGGTGGGAGGAGTTTCAATATTATGGTAAACTGACTTAACAAATGTTTTGGCTCCCATCAACTACATGGTGGCTCACAACATTCTGTAATCAGATCTGGTGCCCTCTTCTGGTGTGCAGGCAAAAGAACACTATACATAATAAATAAATGTTTAAAAAAAAAAAAAAAAAAAAAAACCAAATGTATTGGCTTAGATTCTTAAATTATTCTATCTTGGTTTCTGTATAATGTTTTATGCTACTTTGCCCAAAAAAATAATAGAATAAATAAACAAAAAAGTATACACAAACAACAGCTCCTTGCTAGACACTGGAAAGATGAAGAGTCACAACCAAGTCTTGTCCCAGATCCTCAAAATGCCCTTAAAATTAAGACAATTAATTCATCTCTGAAGGAATCAAACTTCTCCATAAAATGAGTATATTTCTACCATCAAAATTCAACATTATATATGTATATATAAATCTGAAAGTTATCTGAAACATATGTTATAACAGCTTCCACTTGTTTCTTCAAATAAAATTAAAAATAAAACTTTTCTAGAAAGTACTATAGAAAATTTAATCTGCTTTCTAAGATGTTATACAAAGGAAGCAAGAACTTCACAAATAATATATATGTTCATCATAAGAGTATTTATAATAACTAAACATGAAAAAAATCTAAAACCCAAAAACCCCACACCCACAAACAATTAAACCACTCAACAGTAAGAATATGATTAAATTATGGTACACAAGAGAATATTACATAACCATGAGGTGGTAAAAATACAATCACTAATATGGAAAAATATCTAAATTGTTAATAAAAATCAAAGTTTAAGTTACACATATAAACATTTACACAAAACAGTATAGAGTCTTAATTTTGCTTGCACCTTTCTAAATTCCTTCACAATGACAGGAAAATTGTTTTTATTTTAAAACCCTCTATTCTTACAGCTGAGTATATTTTAATAAAACTATTTCTTTTGTGTGGGAGGGAGAAAAATCAGAACCTACCTCCTGCTCATAGATGAAGGAAAATTATCTAAATTTTGTCAGTCAGGTTACCAGATGACAAATAGATTTTTAAAGTTACTATAATCTCAATGTCATAAGAGAGCACGAATAAAACATAAAAAGACTCTATTTTTTTAAAATAGAGATTGGGAAATGGGAGCCAGAAAGATGGCCCAGTAGGTAAAAGTATTTGCCACCAAGTTAAACTGTTTTAACTCTATGTCAAAATATCCTACAGTGCTGGAAAACTGGAGAATTTTAATAATTCTCATGTTGAATCATTTGAAATAGCAACTAACCTTGAGCAGTTTCATCTTCAGTACAAAGGTAATAGAATGAGAAAAAGAGAGAGAGAATGAGAGAGAGTGTGTGTATAAATAGGTATCAGATCAAACCTCTACTTCTAGGATGTGTGTACTGACATGACTTTTTTCTAGTACAAAGCAGCTACACCATGAATAAGGTCCCAAAAGAGACATGAAAAGCTACCTTCCAATGAAGTCAACTTTCTGAAACGTGTTTGAGCTAGAGCTTTATACTATTTAATGATACTATCAAATAATAAATTAGAGTACTAACTGTGTTACTTAGATACCCACTTAAAAGCTAAGGCACAATGATCTCTTCCCTCCTCGTCTCACCCTCCTCAGGTAGGCATACACTGGGTTTTCTCACACACTTAAGAGTGGAGCCAAAATTAACAGCTCTGAATACAGAGCTTTATGCCAACACCATGCTCTACTCTGCTTTTTCCTATTCTCTGGGTTATCAGCAACATCAAATTACTGTTAGAACAACTCACCCAGAGTAGACAAAACATGACTAGTCTACAAAAATAGTAGACAGCTAAAGTCCACAAGGCTTGCTTAATCAGATCATTTACATAATTTTAATTAAAAATAATAATCAATGAAAACAAATGTCTCATTAACATCCCACTTCAGAATCTGTAACCCAAATACTGTAAAGATTAACAAGCCAATAAAAACCAGTACTGTTCCAACATACTTCCAATAGTCAGAGTTAGTTTTACTATCTCAGTAAAATATTTTTAAAAAGCAAACAGCAAATGGTGAAAAACAAATATATTCGAATATTTGATGTTTAATAAGCTAAAGTTACATTAGTAACTAAAAATCTAAACTATATTCCTGAAACATATTCAGATGCAAATGAAGGTCCTTTCATTATCCTCTTTGTAGGCAATGGACAGCTTTATATGACCTCTAAGTCCTCACATCTCCATTTGAAAAGTTGGCACAATACCTCAAGTTATACAGAGTCTAAAGGGTTGACAAATGTGAGACTATTTTTTAAATGAAAAATGACTGTGCAAACATAAACCATAATTTTGCGCTGTGACTTAAAACTAAATGTTCTCTCAACTTTAGAATTAATAAAATCTGTATTTAACCACAACATAAAAGGACTGAAAACAAAGTGTCAAATTTTGAAGCAAAAACTGGTGTTAACAGAGGTCTGTTGTAGAGAAACACTTTTCTTCTATTTGAAAATCACCATGGTTTTAATATATTCTAGACATACCTACCAGAAACAATATTACTGCTAATTATCTTGCCTCCCAAGGTAGCTAATGATTTGGGTACTACAGTAATGATGCTCCCACTGGTAGTTTTCACATAGGTTGCAGCTCCAGGGGTTGTGGCTACTCGACCTAAGGATGGGCTCACTGTTGGCCGGGTGTAGGTTGCCTGAGTACCTATAGGAAGAAAGTAGTGAAAAGAAAAATTTATCAATATTTTTAACTTATAAAAAGAATGATAATTGTAAAATTTCACTATAGTTCAATGTCATATATACCACTTTAACTTGAAAATGGAATTTCAAGATGTCAACACATTCATTTACAATTTTACAGCCAGTTTTCACTATGTACAGCAAGAACCAATGCCAAGTCGACTCAAATTAATTTTACACATTAAACTTTGTGATGTGTTGCATCAAATAACCAGCCCAAGGAAACCTCCCCTTCTATCTTTCTTCCACTGCAAAGGTTAAATGTAACCACTTTCTGCCAACTCACTGTAGGTGTTTCTGTTACAGACATATATTTAAGGTCCCTGTGTCTGTTTGATGCTGTTCCAGAGCTAAACTCAAGGTCACCATTCAGCAAATAAGGCAGTACTATTCACCTAAATTTTTATAACTTTTCTGTTTTATACTCTGCTACTCTCTAAAGAGATTTCAGTATTTTAAAGGATCATCCCATCAATTTACTAGAGATATAGTTGAAACTGCCAAGAATTGCCAGGAATAGTTTTTAGGCTAAAATTTTCTTTATTTGCATATTTCTTCAACTTTAACTGAGCTATTAGAAAATCTATCTTCATATCTCTCTCAGAAGATTTTATACCCTTTCCTATTTCTACAACTTTTCTGTTTCTCAAAGGATTAAAAACTAATTGGACAAGTCTGTTGCGGCTTCTTATAAACCCAGTAATTCAGAAAGACTAGTCCTACAGGAAGTATCAGACTCAGGGAAAATGAAGAGGAAAAGGAGAAAAGACTGAGATGGCATTTGCTTAAACTGAAGTGAGTTTCAGAGAACAGAGACATTTCCAAAATTCCCACCTCAGAAAAAAATACTTTTAAATTAAGAAGTCACTTACTTTTAAAACTTATAACCACTACAACAGTAAGAGGAACATTAAGAAGAATTAGTCTGATCACAGAATACATGTGAACCAGGAAAAAAGGTCTACTGCAAAGTAAACATGGTACAGGAGTATAAAGTTTGAATGCTTTGAATGATAACAACAACAATAAAATAAGAAACAACTCCAGCTTCTATTTTAAAAAGAAACACTGTTGCACTATAAACACAGAAACATGTCCCAGTATTGTTATGGCTAGCTTTTATACAGGTTCTGGAGATTTGAACTCGGGTCCTTACACTTGCATTTTAACAAGTGCTTTTACACATTGAATTGTGTCCTAAGCTCCTGACTTGACATCATTTAACACTTACAGAGTTCACAAAGGGTGATAATTTAAAATGTTCTTCAAGGTTACCACCTCAAGCACAGACAGGTTGATTGAATTCCTATCTGGGAATAAAGGCATGCTTCCATCAGTCTAGGCAACCCTTACTACACTGTAATGTAATATAATGTAACATGGACTCTTATGAGTAACATTCTTATGAGTTGGGCATGTTTCAGTTACTCAACAAACCCTAACCGCACACTTGCATATGGTAAATAAACAGATGGAACTCAACAAACAACTAGGTAAGTAAAAACTGGAGTAATTGCAATAAAGAAAACAGAGGAATATATATATATATCAGAGAGAGCTAATTTCAGGAGTTGAGGGAGTCGAGAAAGACCTTTTGAAAACTGTTTGGTAAAGTGCTTGCCTTGCACGCACCAAACCCTGGGTTTGACCCCAAGCACCTGTTAAACCTGTGTGATGACACACACCTGTAATTCCAGCACTCAGGAAGTGGGGCAGGAGGATCAAGAATGAATTTAAGGTCATCCTCAACTACATACAGAGTTCTAGGCCACAGACCCTGTCTCAAAACAAAATAAAAAAGACTTCTTTGAAAAACTATCTCATTAATTTCTAGATGTGCAATGTCAACACACTGCTGGTATGGGAAGTTATTGATGACGTATGAATGAATGGACTGATGCTTGTGAAACTTACCAGTAGGAGTAGTTACCAGTTTAGTTGTCATAATTGCACCATTACTGCTAACCACCATAATAGGGGAATTGCTACTGGTGGGTAGAGTTGCAGTCACTGGTTTGGGTAAGATTTTACTTGGTTGAACCTGCTGTGTGATGATTTTAACACCTTTGAAAGAAAAAAGATAAATCTCAGTAAAAAAATAATTTTAAAAGAATGTCACTCAGCCCAATAGGGCAACAGTCACACACATTTATTGAGCCTTACTCCAGAGATGCTTTTTTAACATTGATGAAACTCTAAGCTTTCATTGCTCAAATTCCTCTTTCCTAAAATCTCCCAATTCAAGAATGCAGCTATAATATTATATCAACAGATTTCTTAAAGAAAACTAAATCTGGACTTTCATCTATGGTGGTGTGCATATGAGCTTTCAAATCAGTTAGCAAAAACAAATAATCTGTTCCATACAAGTACTTGAGAAGAAAGTACTAGCACAAGGCACCAAAAGCAGTTCACACAGCCCTTCCAGATTCTCAGCAACAAAGACTTTTCATGACTCAAACTAACAGAATAAGATAATAAAAACTTAATAGGCTAAGAACAGTTTTTGTTTGACTTTTTAAAATGGCTATCTTATATTTCATTTGTTTTGTATTGAAATAGGGTCTTACTATGTAGCCAAGGCTGGCCTGGAACTCACTGAGTAGTCCAGCCTGGCTTGGAACTACAGATTCTGCTGCCTTTGCCTCCTGAGTGCTGGGATTACAAATCTGTGCCACCATGCCCAGCTTAAAATCTTTTATTGTTTTTGTTTGTTTGTTGTTAGTACTATTGAACCCAGGGATTCACACATGCTAGGCAAATGCTCTACCACTAAACTATATCCTGAAGTCCTAAAATAGTTTTCTAAAAGAAGAATTTTAATAACTTACTTTATCAAATACAGAATGCCAAAAAAGGCCACATCGGTATTGCATCTATATAAAATATGCAAGTGAGAAAGATCTCACAGCAATGTGCAATAAATACAATAAAAATGTTTAGGAAGTTATGTTGGGACTTTTTTAACATTTTAATATTTTTATATTTACAATGCTATGATATTTACATTGGCTTTCCAAATATAAAGGATTCATTAAAAAGTATGAGATCTAGCTATACTTCTAAATCAGTGATAACTAAAGAAGAAACTTCAGTGCCATTTCTCCACTACTAATCTTTTAAAGAAAATACATAAAACAAAACACTCTCATAGAGAAAATAAGAGTTGCATTATTTTTGGTGTAGTATGATAAGTTTGTCTTGACTGTCGATTTGATAGAATTTAGAACCATCATGGAAGCAAACCTCTGGGTATGTCTGGAGGGATTTTCCAGACCAGGTTTAGAAGAGAAAGATCTACACTGTTCCATGGTCTCTGATCCTAGAGTGAATAACAAGAAGACAGGAAGCAAGCAGTAGCATTTTCCATTCTCTGCTGCCTCACTGAAGACTCAATGTGACCAGCTGCCTCAAGCTCCTGCACTATTCCTTCCCCACCGGAATCTTCTAACTTCAAGTCAAAGTAAACCCTTTCTTTCCTAAATGGCTTTTGTCACAGCAACAAGGAACTAACTAATGCAGGTGGTGATTTAAACTGAAACATTAAGGAAAGAAACAGATCTATGAATTTAGTAGCTTTACGTTAATTCTAAACTTCTATTATCTATGAAAGAAATTAAAATTACAGTATTTGGGCATAATTAGTTAAGTAACAACTCTTGTGACTATTTTTAATCTATAAAATAAAAACAAGTGGAATATATCTCATAAGGTTATTGTAAAGAGTAAATAAATTTGTAAAGTATCTAATACATGTCAAGAACTCAATAAGTATTATGGAAATACTTTTGAATATAATAAACCATAAGCAGTGAGGTTATGAAAAAATATTTCTAGTATTACTGATGAACCATAATCCTGTATAATGCCCATGCAGAAAAAAGCTCCAAGAAATAACCACAAAGAAAAAACAAAACAAAACAAAGGATAATTCCCATGCAAACTGATGATCTGGATCAAATAAATAACATCTCAAAAAAACATTACTTCTCAAAACTGATCATGAATCAAATGCAAATCAAATCAAACAAATTTCCAAAGGAGATTTTAAGAACTCCAACCCTCTCAGAAAGGGGCAAGCCTAGAAAGCTGCCGTCAAAAGGACAGTAACTTCAATGCACTTAACACATTCTGGAGAGCCATGCCTGGTATGATGGAATAAGGAGCTCTCCAATCCACACAATGGAACTAATGCAACCATCATTAAAAGACTCTGGGGACCACAGGATGGCTCCACAGGTAAAAGAACTGACATCAATTCTAACATCCTGAGTTCTACCCCAAAGACCCACATGGTGGAAAAAGAGAACCCATTCCTGCAAGGGGTACTCTGACTTCCACATGCACACAATGGCACACACGCATGAACACACATTTGCTCTCACACAGCACATGCACACACACACACATACATGTACACACAAAATATAAATAAAATGCAATAAAAGAGCATTCTACATTGTGCTTTGAAAGGAAATGGCCCCCAAACAGAGTGGCACCATTAGGCGGTGTGACCTTGTTGTAGGAAGTGTGTCACTGAGGAGGCAGGCTTTGAGATCTCATTTATGCTCAAGCCACACCCAGTGAGACAGATCACTTCTTGTAGCATGCATAACAAGATGTATAACTCTCAGCTTTTCCAGCACCATGTCTACCTGCATGCTGCCATGTCCCACTATAATTTACTAAACCTCTGAAACTGTTAGCCATCCCATTAAATGATTTCCTTTATAAAAGTTGCCATAGTCATGGTATCTCTTTATAGCAACAGAAACCCTAACTGAGACACTTTGGAAGGTGCTTTTATGGCAAATAGCAAACAAAGAAACATCTACCCAACCAAATCCAAAAGTTGAAGTCAAGTTCTGTGACATCTAAGCCAGTATCGTTCTCTTTCTCCTCCCTCAGCTCAATAAGTTGGTGATTCTATTCCAAAGTGCTACAGTCATGGAGTGCAAAATCACTTCTGCTCTTAGCCAGAGGACATTCTTTTCAGTAAAAACAGGACTTCAGCTTATCCTCCTCCTACTTGCTTAATGCCAACTGAAATACTATAGAGAATATTTCCAATCCATAGGAGAATCCACTAGAAATAAATACCAAAAAAAAAAAAAAAAAAAAAAAAAAAAAAAAAACACCAAAAGAAAGATCCAATAACAGAAACAAGCAAACAAACAAACAAACCTTGTAAGCATTTTGGAAATAAAATAGCATAACTATAAATAAATCAAAGAGGAAGTCCCAAGGGAGGTTTCAGAAAAAAATTGTAAGAAAATGACAATATATAAAAATACGCAGAATGAACCTGGCATTGGTGGCGCATACCTTTAATCCCAGCACTTGAGAGACAGGGGCAGGGGCAGGTAGATCTCTGTGAGTTCAGGGCCAGCCTGGTCTACAGAGCTAGTTCCAGGACAGACTCCAAAATAATAGAGACAAACCCTGTCTCAAAAAGCCAAAAGAAAAAAAAATTAAAAATTAAAAAAATACATAGAATGCTGGCAAAATAATGCTGAGGATGTATCAAAACATAGTTACATAGATGTAATAGAACTAAAAGCTAAATGGATAGGAAAAAAAAGGTCTTTAATCAATAATCCACATTCCAGTCTCAAGAAACTATAAAAGCAAAACAAAGCCAAAGGGGGAAAAATAATAATAAAACCAAAAACTATAATAGAAAATGATTAATGAAGCAAAACTTTATTAAAATTTTTTAAACTCAATAATATTGAAAATCCTAGAAAGCCTGACAAAGAAAATGGTTACTTGTACAGACCTTGTAGCCATGTAAAGGATAATAAGGAACTGATAGTGATAACTATCCATTTTGACTACTTAAAGATGAATAAACTTAAAAATCATAAACCACCAAAACTCAATGGATATGAAAGTTAATCCAAATAGTTTCCCTACTATAAAAAAAAAGTGAGTTCATAATTTAAATGCTCCCAAAATTGAAATCTCCACGTCCACCAGATTCACTGAAGTCTGTTAAGAGTAGATATCTCACTACAGAAGTCCACTAAGTATTTAAGGAATTAATACCAATCTTCCCTAATCTCTTCTAGAAAACGGAACACTTCAAACTCACTCTCAGGCCAGTAGTACCTTGATAACCAAAGTAGACAAAGATAGTGCAAAGATAAAAACAACTATATACCAACATTCCCCAAGGCAGGGGAGTTGGCTCAACAGATGATCTGAGGAACTGAGTTCAGATCCCCAGCATCCACATAAATGCCAGGCATGTGTGGTGTCCTGCCTATAGATAATTCCAGTATTCCAGAGGTAAGAGTTGGAGACAAGGGATCCCAGAGCAAGCCAGGTAACCAAACTAAACAAACAGGCAAACACAGAGTTCAAATAAGAATCCCTGCCTCAACTTAAGAGGCGAAGAGTGATCAAGGATACCAGCATCAACCTCTGGCCTCCACATGTACTTGTATACATTCACACAGAAACCTACATACACATCTGCACATAATCACATGTGAACATGCATCTACAAAATCACCATATACACACATTAAAAAAAACAAACAACCTCTCATGGACAGAAATAAAAACTGAAACCACTGATGTATAACAAAGAATTATATGCCATGACCAAGTGGAGCTTATTTCATATATATAACTGGTTCAACAGAAAATCAACCCATGTGATTCAACATAACAGAGCACACAAAACAGGTTGTGACAGCACCTGACACATAGTCATAATGAAAAGCCCCAGGAAAGAGGAAATGCCACGTCCTCAGCTCAAAAAGCACGTAAACAAATCCTGTAACAGGCCTCACACTCAACACTGAGAGACCCAATGCCTTCTACTCAAGATAGGGATCAAGACACCAATGCCTGTTCCAGTCAATCCTACTTATTCATTCTAATTTGTGAAATCAGACAGAAGAGAGAGGAAAGAAGTGGGGGAGGAATACTGATTGATAGAAAAGAAGAAAAACCCTGTCCTTATTTACATATGACACAATGAAATACATCCTACATACATAGGAACCCCAAGAAATCTATGTAGATACTCCCACAAATAATAAAGTTCACCAAGCTAGAAGGATACAAGTTCAGCAACATGTTTATATACTAAAAATAAACATGTAATCAGCAACATGTTTACATACTAAAAATAAACATGTGAAATGGAAATTAAAACCATGATTTAGAGACACTAAGAAAACCAGACATTTAGGGCTATAGCTTAGAAAACATTTACAGGCATTTCCTACTAGAAACCAGGTCTAAATAAATGGTAAGACATGCTATGCAAATGACCTGCAGGACCAGAAGAACTGCAAATTGAGGATATCCAGCAGACCTCATGCACATTTCCCAGTTACCTGACTCCTGTTTGATCTGGATGGTAGGTTTGATACCAGGTGGCAACGGTGCCTGCTGAGGTTGCTGCTGCTGAGACACTGAGGAAGGCTGGGCCACTGGCTGCTGTGTCTGTTGCTGCACTTGATGTAACTGCTGCTTAGGAGACTGCTGATGCTGTTTAGGAAACTGTGCAAGAATCTGGGTAGGGGCACTCACTAAGCTTTTGGGGGAAGGAAGTCTTGTCGATGCCATTTTGATTGCTGATGTGGACACACCTACAGAAAAGTAAAGAAGATTTAGGAAGAGGGAGGGTAGGGCCGTCAAAACAAGGAGGATTTGAACCATTTCATCAGCCAACTAATACCCTGGAAACACAAAGGAGCAAATATAAAGTCAAGTGTTATAAAAACATCTATTAAGTAGACTAATTACAGTGCCCACACACTCTTGAATACAGTCTTGCTTCATTAACAAGTTACTAATTTTTCTGTAACCATTTTACTTCTTTTCACTGTAGTTTAATTCTGTTACTACTGCTGGTTGCTAGTCTAATTTCTTTTTTCCTTTCTAACAAAACCAAGTTTTTTCCCCTTAAGAATCCACATTTCTGGGCATCGGCATACACTTGATGGAGACCTGTCCCTAAGTCAGCTTTAGAGGGGAATTCTCAATTGGTTTAAGCTTGCCATGCTACTCCATTACTTTTCCCAGCAATAAGGTAAAGCTAGTTATAGCCAACATGTTATGAGAGGAATCTTTTCCTTAGGAAGGATACACAAAAAGGAATTTTTCTCTTCTTCCTTTGGATACTTTCATGGCTGGCTATAATGCCAACAATGTACATATCTAACTAGCAGTGGCGGGAAAAAATTTCTTGTTGGTCCAATGATTCACCTAACTTAACTGAATGAAGCCTTTGTCTTATGAACTTCTGAAATAATAAAGTTTCTTAAAAAGCAGTAAGTCGAGGGAAGGCGGGAAGGAGAGGGAACTGGGATCAACATGTAAAATAAAAAATAAATAATTTTTTAAAAAGCAGTAAGTCAATCAATACTTATTTATGTGCAGTCATTCATTCAATCATTCATCACATTTTTGCAAATAAATTCAGACATTAATCCAGTCAGACTCCAGAATCATTAATTTATTGTACATTTGGATGCCCAAAAGAATACAGGGAAGACCATTAAATAAAACATATTAATCTACCTTTGGAAAAATTATGAATGAAGCTACTACATTGGTAATTTTGACTAAATTCATGCTATGGTTTGAGTATATACCAGAGCCCATGTGTTAAAATTTAATCTCCAATGTAAAGCCTTAAAATGCTAGAAACTTCATCTGATTTAATGAATACAGTTTAGAAGTAGAGCCTCTAGAACACCATTAAAACTAAGCAAGCTAGTTAGGGAGGAACCAATGACTTAATGGCTTTTTAAGAGAAAAAGAACTCAGAAAAGGCACACATATGCACACCCTGTCTCTTGTGACCACTATGCACTATCTTGAAGCTCTGAAGCAAGAAAGTCATCACAAGATACAAGTTCTTGATCTTAGATTTTCAAACCATAAGCCAAAAATAAATCATTTTCCAACCTAAAACTGCCCAACCTGGCCAGGCTGTGGTGGTGCTTTAATCCCAGCACTTGGGAGGCAGAGGCAGTTGGATCTCTGTGAGTTTGAGGCCAGCCTCACCCTGGTTTACAAAGCTACACAGAGAACCCTGTCTCCAAAAACAAAACAACAACAATAACCAAAAAAAAAAAAAAAAAGACAAAAACAAACAAAAACAAAAAACAAAAAAAAACAAAGCTACCCAAACTGAAATGCTTCCTTATACCAAATTTAAAACAAAAAAAAAAAAAAAAAAAAAAAAAAAAAGGACTAATAACAATATATAAAACAGTTAAAGGCTGTAATATGACACCCTAAAACTCTTTTAATGTAAAGAAGTATAAGCTGGGCCAAAGAGATGGCTCAGGGGGTAAAATATCTGCTGTGTAAGCTTGACAATCTTTAGAGTTTGATCCCCAAACCCACAAAAAAGGTGGGAAAATAGAACTAACTACATAAAGGTGTCTTCTGACAGACACTGTAACACCTACATGAACACACCTACATGCATACATAATAATAAAGTATAAGTGGAGAGAGATAATACATAAAAGTTAAGTGTACTGCTCATGTTTTGTGTGTTTAAGAAAATACTAAAGGAAAAAAAAGCAAGAATGAGACAACATACTGGTTAAACACTTTCAATTTTTAAAAAGAAACAAACATTATTTCTGGGCTGGTGAAATGGGTCAGCAGATACAGGGGATTGCCATGCCTGAGGACATGAGTTGGATCCGTAGACCCACATGGTAGGAGAGAAACAATTACAATTGACTTTCACATGTGTGTTATGAACATGCATGCCCACACAAATATATACAAAAACATACTATAAGCAACATATTATAACCTGAAGCAGGCACAGGGTAGGAGAACTAAGGTCAAGAGAAGACTGTCACACTATTACGAAAGGAATTCATAAAGTCCACAGGAAACAAGAGGAAAAGCATAAAATGAAAGAAAAAAAAAAATCTTATCACACAAGAGATGCTGGCAACAAAATAAAAAAAAAATACAATCAACCTAAGTAATTAGCAATGACCCATTCGTTAGTTTTTGGAGAGCAAAAGAACAGAACTGAGAATCAACCAAAAAGCTAGACATAGCTTTCAATCTTGAGTAAAGGACCAAGAAAGAAGCAGTCCTCTAAAAATAAACTATTTTCAAATACACACAATTCACACCTCTCTACGATACCAGCACCAACCAGACTTTTAAACACCAAATTACAAATTCTCCTTTCCAAACATTCAAGTGCACAGCAGCACATATAATATGCTGAGGAAAAGCCTAAATATGTGTCTATTTGCTTCCATGGGTTTTTGTTGTTATTTGTTTTATTTTGTTTTCTGTTTGTTTGTGTTTGTTTGAGACATGATTTCTCTGTGTAGCCCTGGCTGTCCTGGAATTTACTCTGTAGACCAGGCTGGACTCAGAGATTCACCTGCCTCTGCCTCCCAAGCACTGGGATTAAAGGCATGCATAAATGATCTTAGAAAGGAATGGGGTGGGGAGGAAGACAGGACAAGGTGTAGGAATTACAGAGAAAAGAAAATTGTGAACACTTCATTCTCAAGCTAAGGGAGGGTAAGCAGGGAAGTCATCACTGACCTAACTCTCTCTCTCTCACTCTCTCTCTCTCTCTCTCTCCCTCCCTCCCCTCCCCTCCCCCTGTTGTCTTCAAAAATCCCTCCACACAAGGACAGAATTAAATAGTGGCTCACCACTCACCTTGTGCTACTGTTGACATGACCACGGATGGTGTGGAAGATACCACGGCTGTTACTGCAACTGTACTAGAAATAGGTGATAGCGTGGAACTGGGGTTGCTGCTGCTGCTGCTGCTACTGCTGCTGACCAGAGAGGACTGTGATGCAGTTATAACAACCGGTGGCTTCTGAGTTGTGGAAGCAATGACTGATGTTGGTACAAGCTTAGTGACTGCTGCATAGTTATGGGATTTGGAGAGAATGTTGGGCACGAAGGTTGAACTTGGAGATGTGGTCACTATAATAACCTAAAGGAGGAAAAATAAGTTATTTTCATGTACATACTGTATACCATCAATGTATATACAATTCAAAACTAAGTTTTGAAATAGGAAAAGCAATTCAACAGAGAGGAAGATATACCTAATTAAAAGTATATTAACACTTTCCTTTACCAGCAATAATCAAAACTACCTAAAAATACAAATTTTCAGCAAGTATTTTAAGAGACAGTGTTCAGTGTTGTGCATGATGTGGCTCTGTAAGCATCCCAATAAACCATACACTATTTAGGGGATAAATTCACTCCATCACATGAGAAAGTAATTGAGATTTGTTCACTTGTAAATACTTATTGAGCATCTACTATGTGCCAGGCATTGTTCTAGATGCTGAGGATAGAAGAATGAACAAAACTTACTTGCATGGAGTTTATATTCTAGTGCAGAGAGAGAAACAAAAAATACATGACATGTAGAAACAAATGGAAAAGACAACAAACCAGTGTAAAGAAAAAAAAAAAAAAAAGGGATGATTTGAGTGTAGATTTTTTTTTTTTTTAAATAAAGTACTCAGTGAAGATCTTTATGTAAGGTGACATTTGAGCAGAAACAAGAGAGGTCAGAGTGTGAACCATGTACTGTTAACACTTAGAAGGACACTCAGTGGCATGGGGAGTAGAAAACAAAGGCCCCAAGACAAAAGCAAGCTTTGGGTACTCAAGAGCTTTAAAGATCTAAGGGACAGACTGGTATTCATAAAGCACATAACTATTGAGAAGTAATAGAGGACTAGAAAATGTAAAGTCATGATAGTTCATGTCCTTTCATATGATGTGAAGCAAGTAGCAGTAGTTCTCTGTGATCTCCCTCCATAAAGTTCATAACCCTAATCTAATAAAGAGAAAAACATCAAGCAAATTCTAGGAGTGGGGCATCTTTCTAAAACACCTGGCCTGTCAAAAATAATAGTTTAAAAAAAAAAAAAAAAAACAGGAAAATCTGAGAAATTTTCACACTGAGAGGTATTTAAGGAGACAAAACAGGTAAATAGAATGTGGCATCCTGGATGGAAATCCTGGAACAGAAAAAGACAGTAAGTAAAGCCAAGGAAATCCAAATAAACTATGAACTTAAGTTAATATTAATAATAATGCATTATTACTATTAATTAAAACAATGCATCACACTAATGAGAAATATTAACAGGGAAAGATGTAAACTTTTATAAATTTTCTGTAAATCTAAAACATCTAAAAAATTGAATCTATTTTTCTAAAGTATCTATCTGCTAGATGGAAGCTACCATAGGGCAGTGAGAGTAGTACAGCCAAATTAAGAAGTTCTTATAAACCAGCAGAAATGGGAGTGACCAATGTGTTGGTGGGAGCTGTTAGTTTTACACCTTATAGGTGAAATAGCAGGGTGTACCCCTAGTCTATTATAAAGAACAGATATAAAGAAAGAGAAGTCAAGCTTTAGCCAGTAAGAGATTTAGCAGCAATACATTTCACAGAGACTAGCACTGAATAAAAGACCCATGGTCAAAATCACCCAATAGGTTTAAAAAAGAAAGAAAAGCAGTATAGAAAGCCTACAGCAAAGAAGGTTAAAAGCAGAAGACTAAAGTATCTGGATTTCATATTAAGAACAATTAAGAAGCCACGGGAAGATTTTTAAGAACAAAAACAAGATGTGATGTTTATTTTAAAAGATCATTCTAGTTGCCATGAAGTAGAGGCAAGAGTAGAAGCTACTACAGCAGGCCAAAAGTGACAGCAGTTTCTTGGGCTGGGGTGTTATCAGAAAGAAAGCGAAGTGACCAGATACAAATCATTCTGACAAGTAGAGAAACTAAAACTTGTGGATGAATGACAACAGTAGAGTTCCTAGAGAGGAACCAAGAAAAGCTCCCAGAGTTAATATATGCATGGGCTTATTTAGCTGTCCCCAAATCCCATGATACAGATACTATTATTATCCCCATTTCACAGGAAAGAACACAAAAGTTACTTATGCTTTGGTAGCATGCATCACAGTTTTATTTTGGAGTGAGTAAGCAGTGCTATAGTGATACCCAGTTCTTTCACTAAAATTATTTGTGCCTATCTAAGACAGAACAAATTGTTCTAAAAAAAAAAAAAAAAAATCCAAAAAATTACAGAAGAAATTCTTTTACAGCTTTACATTGGTCCTAAAGAAAGTCTGAAGTTAAATCAGTCAAAAAATTTGAGTGAGTTTGTACTTGGTATCTACATCAATAAGGAAACATAAACTATATCATTACTACATATTTTCAATTAACAAAGAAATTAAGACATTAGTACTTGTCCATTACTTTAAAGAGTGTGTTGTTTTAGCAAACAAGACATATTTTAACCAGCAGACATTTGTAGAAAGTTGGTCAGTATAACCACAAGCAGGCTGATTAGCAAACAATATGCAAGATTATTGAAAACAACCGAGAAACTATTATACAAACTGAGAATTGGCCAACACAGCAAGAGGGTCATAACCTTCAGAGTCAAATGAGCCTGCGCTTAGATCTTCTTGCCTCCGCCACTTTCAAGTGACAGGCCCCTGGACATGTTAAAATCGTTAAGTTCCAATTTATTTTTTTCTATAAAATAGGGATAATAATTCCAACCTTACAAAACCATTACAAGGATTAGATGATATAATCGTGTGAAGCATCTACTAGGCACATAGCAGGTGGTCAATATTTGACAGTTAATAAATGGTACTTACTAGAAGCTTACTATTCCTATTTAATGTTAGATGGATATGAATACAGCATTGTAGATCACTTCTATCCAAAAACGATGAGTATATATACTGTGTTTGTTTCATTAGAAACATTTTCTTTCTTTCCCTGCCTAATGCTGATATCCCTGAGTATACAAAGAATTCATAGCTACCAGACCCAAACTAATTAGGGTACTAAAGGCAATTGGGTTTCACTTTTGTCAATCCTGAACCACTAGTCACAGCTTCCAGGAGGCACAATGCTGATGACTGCGGTACAAAAGAGGATTCATCAGGCTTGGCAGGAAAGAACGCCATAGTTAATTAGCAATGTTGGGCATGGACAGGAAAGAAAAGTGTGCACAGTTCAAATATTTGAAATTTAAGAATGAAAGCAGGAGTCAACCATTAAGAAAAGAATAAATCTAGGGTCTTTAGAAGCATATCTTAGATTACGGGTACAAATGATAAAACATAGTTTGAGATTTCAGTACACAAATGATTTCTGATCTGTAAAGGGGCTTCCCAAACTAGAGTTCCACCCTGGAGAAATCACTTACACTTTAAAGTTGCTTATTACAACAAGGGAGATTAAAAGGTTTTGAAGCGGAGTGAGCCACACAGTGTTTATTCAGGCCATAATTCAAATTACTGACCTTCTAGCACTCACAAAAACTCCTTAAGAGTGCTGGGACTTGCACCCTAAGGACAAAATGAAAAATATCAATCAAGCACATGAAAGCATAAAGCTATATTCTGTTGCTCTGTTTGATCAGTGCTGTATCAATGTTGTTTTAAATGAGGCATATTAACATACGTGGAAATGTATCTATGCTGAATATGCACAACCTATTTAAATGTGAACACCGTTTACAAAATCAAAAACAATTATACTTAATGTAAAGTCACTTTACCTACAATAATTAATTGATAAGTTGACTTAAACACAAATTGTGAGAAATCCAAGGTAAATATAATATGACAATAACCTTGGATAAAATTATTTTTTAAATCCAATTACCCAGAAAACAGAAAACAAAACAAAACACAGAATGTGTATTTATTAGTCCTAACCATACTCTAGTCCAAAAAATCTTTAAAAATAGATGGCAGAGAAAGAATGAAGTAAGAAAGCACAGTTTTACAAGTGGAACACAGTAGATGCTCAGTAATTATTTGTGGAATAAATGAGTCTTTTTAAATTTACCTTAAATGTATATGTTTTTGTTTGTTTGTTTGTTTGTTTTGGAGACAGGGTTTCTCTGTGTAGCCCTAGCTCTCCCAGAACTAGCTCTTGCAGACCAGGCTGGCCTTAAACTCAAAGATTCACCTGTCTTTACCTCCCAAGTGCTAGGTCTAAAGACGTGCGTGCACCACCACAGCCAGGGTTAAATGCTTTCCTTTTTTTTTTTTTAAACACAAGTAAATCTAAATTTCTGAATCTGAAAATTCATGGCATGGCTACATATGACTTTGAAAATAAATGTGCCTCCTTAAAAGCATGAGTCTGTCTAACAACCTCAAATATTCATTCTCACCTCAAAATCATGAAGATAAAAACAAGAGTCAGTAAAGAAAAAAGAAAATGAAAACAAAGCATTCAGACTCCACTTAAAAGGAATCCTATCTGTTACAAACGTTTTTTATGTAAATCTGCCAAATTAGAAAGTTAACAATGTTAGGTTACATTTATTAAACACTCATTGTATGGACTATAATTATCTTCAGTGAATAATCTTATCTAATTTTCCTGGTAACTCTTAAGAAGTGCTATTATTACTTTTGTCTTAAAAGGAAACAGGTTCAAGCAGTTAGCAATGGGCCAGTGACACAGCTCTGTGGGAAAATGCTTGCCTAAAATGACCAGACAGTACTGGAGTCAGATCTAGTTATGTGTGTATTGATTTGTTCATTTATTATTTCATTCATTCAACAAATATTAATTAGCATCTAGTACATGCCAAGGCATTGTTCTAAATACTAGGGAATCTTGTCATAAATAAAACAGAGACCTAAGCTACCCTCAGCAGTACATGGGAGAAACAGAAAATAAACCTGTAATTTATAACATCAACTACTTAAAAAACATAATAAATAAAAACAAAACACACACCAGGAACAAAAGAATACAGAAAAAAAAATGTAGGAACTCTTACTACTTTCCTACCCTATTTCTTGAATACTAAAGTCATTTTTAAGTAGATGAAAAGAGAAAAGAATAGCCATAAGATCAAGCAATGAAGGCAGTAAAAACATTACTATAAGATTTAAAAACCTGTAGGAGAGACAGAAGGGGAGAAGGAGAGGGGGAGGAAAACATGAGGGACCAGGGAGGTCAAGTTGGGAGAAAGACACAGAAGGAGAGCAAGGAAAGAGATACCTTGATAGAGGGAGCTGTTATGGGCTTAACTAGAAACCTGGCACTAGGGAAATTCCCAGGAATCAACAAGGATGACACCAACTAAGAATCTAAGCAATAGTGGAGAGGCTACCTTAAATGCCCTTCCCCTAAATTGAGATTGATGACTACCTTAAATGCCATCATAGAGCCTTCATCCAATAGCTGATAGAAGCAGAAGCAGAGATTCACAGCTAAATGATGAGCCAAACTCTTGAAATCCAGTTGTAGAGAGGGAGGAGTGATGAGCAAAGGGGTCAAGATCATGTTGGAGAAATCCACAGAAAACAGCTGACCTGAGCAAGTGGGAGTTCACAAACTACAGACTGACAGCTGGGGAACCTATATAAGACCGAACTAGGTCCCCAGAATGTGGGTATCAATTGGGAGGCTTGGGTAGTCTATGGGGCCTCTGGCAGTGAAACCAGTATTTATACTTAGTGCATGAACTGGCTTTTTGGAGCCCATTCCCTATGAAGGGATACTCTCTCAGCCTAGATATGGGGGGAGGGCCTCAGTCCTGCCCCAAATGATGTGACAGACTTTGATGATCCCCCATGAAAGGCATCACCCTTTCTGAGGAGTGGATGGGGGAGTGGAATAGGGAGATGGTGGGGGGGGGGGAGTGGGAGGATAAGAAGGAGAGGGAACTGGGATTGGTTTGTAAAATAAGTTCATTTTTAATTTAAATTTGAAAAGTAATAAAAAATTTGAAGAGATTTAACAACCTGAAACATTCATATAATAGTCAGTTGGTATCAAGCTCAGAAAGAGCTAAGGATGATACAGCTCAGTGGTAGAGTACTTGTCCAGTATATACAAGACCCTGGGTTCACACACACACACACACACACACACACACACACACACACACACACACACAGTGGTAGAGTACTTGTCCAGTATATACAAGACCCTGGGTTCTCACACACACACACACACACACACACCTGGGTTCTCTCTCACACACACACACACACACACACACACACACACACACACACACACCAGGAAAAAAAAGGAATAACCAACACAATGTAAAAAGTGGCTTACTTGAAATCAAGTAAAAACACAAACCTTATGTTCGATAAACACAAACCATCAAAAATAGTTGATTCATATATTTGAAACAGTTCATTGTTATCAGCAAATTAGTGAAATGCTGACTTTCAAAAGCACTCAGCAAAGCAAAAGAACTCACATTTTCTAGGTGCAAGCTCTGTATCACAACTTAAATACTTTGATTTGGCATTACTCTTGTCCCTGAGATAAGAAAAGACTCAGAAACACTTATTATTCACCATTTACTCCAAAGCACTGGCAGCAAAGTTTATAATACTCAAAGCAAGAAACTAGAAGATGCTTGCCTGATGAATCTGACAACCCTAAGGACAAGTGGCAAAGGGACAGAGTAGTTAATGTGTGAATTTCATATGTAAGCTGACTGCCAGATGCTTAAGGAAAATCTGAAAAGAAAAACATCAAGTAATAAAATGAACTAACAGGTAAAATAAAGAGCATGAAAAAAAGAAAACCAAACCAAAAGACTTATGAATATAACCAAATAAAAGAATATAATCATCCTACCAAAAAGCAGGATGTTATTTTTAAAAAGGAAAACAAGGAACATCTACAGAAGAAGGAAGAATTATTAGAAATTTAAAGTATAATGGTTGCCAAGTATATTAATGCATGCCTATGATCCTTAGCACTCAGGCATTCAAGATCAGCCAAAGCAACACAGTAAGTCGAAGGCTGAACTGAACTAAATAGTGAGATGATTTCATCATGAAAAATAAAGTATGATAGCAAAAATGAACAATTCCATGCAAGTAATATAGGGCACTGATCAAAAGTATAGAAAATGACAATACACATTTACCCATGTTAAGCTCTCTTCTAACAGCTTTACATATATTATTTATTATATCCAAAGATCTTATATAAACACTGGGGGTTTTGCTCTCTATTTCACAGAGAAACCCTGGACATAGAGTTTAGTTTCCCCCACAGTCAAAAAGCTAGTTGTGGTTGATATTTTGTTTATGATCTAATAAAGCTTGTCTGAAGATCAGAGTGCAGAACTAAGCCATAAGTTATCCACACACCTAAGCCATTAGTTAGCCATAGAGGACAGGAAGTAGTGGCCACACCTTTAATCCCAGCTCAGAGGCAGATGGATCTGTGTGAGTTCAAGGATACCCTAAGCTACATCAGAGTGAATCATTCTAAAAGAGAAACAGAGCTCACACCTTTGATCCCAGCACTTGGGATCATATGCCTTTAACCCCAGCACTAGGGAGGTGGAGACAGGAGTGATATGGCTGGGCAGAGAGACGAATGCAAGACAGGAAGACACAAGAATGAATGGCAGTCTGAGGATTTGTAGAGACAGAGGCAATCTAGGCAGTCTGAAAGGAGTCTGACGAGCAGTGGAGTCTGGAGATGCAATCTGAGGACAGAACCACCCCTTTGGTCTGAGGCAGAGGTAAGAGCCAGTGGCTGACCATTTTGCTTCTCTGATCTTCAGCTTTAAGCCCGATCATCTGTCTCTGGGTTTGTATTACTTGTGCTACAGCTAGTGGCAAGCTGGAATTAAAATTAATAAAGTCTAGTTCCAAAACCCATATCCTTAGCCGCTATGCTACAGTTGGGGCTGGATGGGAAATAGAAATGAGCAGTATGAGAAAATCAATGAGGATCGATTCAGGAAGTTCCAAATTCTCAATAAGTGATCTACAAAGGAAATGTAGGACATCAAAGAGTTAACCCAAGAACTTCTGAGAACTAAAGGCATGAGTGTACAGTATAAAAAGCTCTAAGGATACAATCTAAGTCTTTGCTGTTTCAGTACTCTAAATAGAGTATCCAAAGACAAAACTAGGAGCTAAAAAACAGAATAGCACTGGGTATCTCAAAACTCAGAGGGAAAAAATTTCCTTTGTCTACACAGGGTTTCAAAAAACTTCTCAGCCACTAATACACTGGGAAGCTACTAAAGGACATACTTTAGCAAAATAAATAAACTAATAAAAAGGGAAGAACAGAAAGATGCTAAAAAGGAAACCCCAGAAACACAGGTGTAAAATAAACCTCATGTCATCACACTCCACACCAGTGTGGAGACAGGATTGCAATAACATGAAATTGACAGAGTACCAGTGACTTGTGGTCAGAAATGAATGCAAAACAACATGCAAATAATAAAAAGGAAAATAACAATTATTCACTTACTCATATCCCTTCTTTTTTCTAAGAAACACTTAACTCTACTGGCAAAGCAAAACTCACTTCCTAAGCATAAGACCACACAAACAAAGACTTTAAAACTTTTCTAGTTTGTTTCAAAATGGCATTACAATTATCAAATACACCATAAGTCAGGACGCAGATCTGCTGTCACCTTAAGCAAACTATCTGGCACCTAATCCTCATCTTTAAGAAGTGAATAATAATACCTAACTCAATGTTTTATGTGCAGAATTAAACAAGAGATGTAAGCATTCCTAACATAATGCCAAGTACATAGTAAGCACTCAGTATATGACCATCAACTCTAAATCATACTGTATGAAAGAGACAGAATGACTGAGACTCCTTCCACCACATACCTTCTGTGTTGTTGTGTTTGTTGTCTGTGTTGATGGTTTGGTGAAAGTTATTTTCACAGGTGACATGTGGGGTGGCAAGGAGTTGGCAATGCTTTGCATGATGTTGCTCATCTTGGGACTGCCACTCACAGGCACAGTGATGGTCTTTGACACTGGAACAACAGCCTTTGGAACTTCTTTCAGGACTACAGGAGAAGAACTAGAAGAGTTTGTTCGCCTGCGTTTTCTGGGTTTTTCATCTTCATCTGAACAGCTAACACCTGTAAGACAATGAAAGTACTCCTACTTATACAAAACTAGCATTGCCTCTTATACTTTATTTTTTAAAACATCCATGTCATCCTTTGCCTCTCCCTTTCTTTTTTTATAATTTACCTTTTGTTTTATGTGCATTGGTGTTTTGCCTGCATGTGTGAGGGTGTCAGATCTTGCAGTTACAGAAAGTTGTGAGCTGCCATGTGAGTGCTGGGAATTGAACCCAGGTCCTCTGAAAGAACAGTCCGTGCTTTTAACCTTTTATCTGAGTCTGCATATCATATTTTTCTTTGAGGAACACCACCAGCCTCAAAGACCTATTCTTCACCCTGCAAGCCACCTTCTCTGTGAAGCCTCCCCTTCCTTGATGCAGAGCTAATCCACCACTCCCGAGCAGTACATAAAGCACTTTGTACATACTCTTCTGTACCACTTACCACATGACAATATAATGGTCTGCACATCTCCCATATTAATGACCTCTCAGACAAGAATGACAAAGCCAACTTTTGTTTCCCTGGTATAGCGAATTGCAGGAAGTTGGTGAATGAATAATAAAAACTAACATTGTCTTTGAGTATAAAATGATACAGTTCTTGTAACTTGAAAGTGCATTAATTTATGAAATGGTTTCTTAGTGTTTGAGATTCACTAAGAGTAGTTTTAAAAATGATTTTAAAACTTAGGCCCTGAGAGTCATTTCTAAAGACCACATTGGTTAAATCTACAGAAACCTGAGATGAACATAACAGCCCATGATTCTTAGCATTTTTATGGCCTAAAAACTTCAATTCTTTTATAGATTTTATAAAATTCATATGATAAATAAACAAAGCAACATACATGGGAAATTTCTATAGAGCACACATAGAAATTACATAGTATGACTCATGGAATTGGTGATAAAATATAAGTCTTTACAACTTCAATTTTTAGACTCTATACAGTATTGGCAATGACCTAGAAACCTGTCTTTAAAAGGCAAATGTCACCTCTAAAATCTATAAGGAAATCAAACTTATTAGCATATTGAGACCAATTAAAACCAAATACTAATGACAAAAAGCAAAGTGAACAAAATAAAGTACAAAACACTTTTTAAAATAAAATTAAGAGACACTGACATAAAAAGGCTAGACATCAAACTGTTCTGTAGAGCCAAGTAAGGGAGCACAGCAGTGATCCCAGCACTTGGAGGCTGAAGCAGAAGGGTCTCAAGTCTGAGGCCAGTGGGGCTACACAGTGAGATTCTGTTCTCAGAAGAGACTATTGTTCAGAGCAGAGTGGAATCGGAAATTTAAAACTACAAATAAAAAACTTTTTTAAAGATTATGTCAAGTAGAAATATAAAAGGTAGCCTCTAGAATGAGTCACTAAATGTAAGAGCTGGATGACACAAGGAGTAACTCAAGAAAACACTACAAAGACCGGGATTGAAGGAAAACATCTGATAGTCACATAAGGACATGCCTTCAGTTCCTATTCATGTCTGTGTTCCACAGGACTCAAAAGATGTGAATGTCTAAAGGACAGCACTGTGCAAAGGCAGATTTCCAAAAAGCAAAAAATGATTTATCAAATCCCAGAACTGACGAAAGAACAAATACCTAGTCATACATACAGATAAGAAGTCTTTAGAATCTCCAAACACAAAATAACCACTAAAATCAGCATGTGCCACAATGACTGACTCCAGAAAAGCAGATCAAATCAAAGCCTAGAGTACAGCATTTTGTCCAGAGGGCCTGATAACACTGAGGCATCACTTACTTTTGACATATACAGTACTTCCACTTGGCAAGACAACTACACTGGAGGCAGGACTGGCAGGTCTCGGAGACTTAACCGTTGCTATGCTGCCACTTGGAACAGGGGTAGAGGTTGGGGTTGATGTGGTACTTGTGTAGGAATAGCAAACCACTACTGAAGGAATGATAAAAGAAAAATTAAAAAAAGTTTGCTGTTAACTTTCACCACAACTGTCCAGACATATAGAGAAATTACTTTTATTGCAGGTCAACTTTATCATTTTCATATGATCAGAAGCTAGATGCTAGTACAAGGTACTAGACTCAAGGGTTAAAGACTATTTTGAAAATCACTTAATGGGTCTTCCCAAGTATTTACCAGCTCATCAACAGGTAACTGGAAATGAAGAATGGAGGTACAAAGCAAACAAGTTTAAAACTATTCTGAGAAAAAGGAAAATCATTTCTCATAACAGCAAGAACTGGACAACAGGTACAAAACTGAAATACTCTTTAATACCAATAGCAGGACCACTAATGTTAACTTTTCCCTAACCACAACAATTTCCAAAGCACTTACAGGAGAAACAAACTAACTCTTCTGTCATTTGCCAACCAAGTGGTGCAACAATAACTAAAATAATGATGACATCAAATTTCAACCTCCTTATCATTCAATGAAAGGGCACAACACAGGAATAGCCTGGAGTTACCACGTAAGATAATATGCTCAATCTTTTCCATCATCACCAACTCTCACACCACATCTCACTTTTAAAGATGAGGAGCCCATAGTTTACAGACTGTAAGATTTGGTAAGGTCACAAACCTAGGAAATAATAATAAACCTTGATCCCAATCACCAATTTTACTATTAGGAACCCAATTTTCTTCCCATTCTATCAGCTAGCAAAAGGAGAAGGTAAAAGTGGGAAGAGAGGAGATGTAACTGCCAACAATGAAGAAAATAGAAATCCGGTAGAGGCTAAGTTTGCACAGATAACTGCCTCCCTGAAAATATAGCTTTCTTTGGCATAGAGCCAAGCCTGGCTTTCTCATTGTATGCAAGGCCCACCACTAGACAAGACAAAGCAATTTCTCAATGTAATCTGGCAAACACATAGTCTTCAGAGTTGCTTTTAATCCAAGAATACTCTCAAATTTATTATCACCTTAGTAAAAGAATTTAAAGATTGTTTAAAGCATGGCAATTACTAGATTAAGTAACAGTAAGAAAGTGCTCATTGGCTGGAACAGAAAGGCTACGTGTACCATTGATGCAAAAAGACCAAAAATAGTTTTATTTTGTGGATCTATCAGTTCAGCATCTTTTATCCAGAAGGTATTTCTGTCATCTTGTTTATTTTCTACTGTGATTCATTAAGTCCTTCCATTCATCTCTAACAAGAGACACTCAGAAGGCATAGTGGCTCATATCTGTAACCTCAGCAGCAGGGAGTCTGAGATGAAAGGACTACCTCAACTGAGTCCAGCCTGGGCTAGAACACTTGGTTTGGTCTCAAAAACAAAACAAAACAATATAAGACAAATGTCAGAAATTCAATCTGAGAAAACTTTTTCTGTGATTAACATTATTTTCCCTTAAAGAAATCTGATTTGGGGCGGGTAATGGTGACGAATGCCTTTAGTCCCAGCACTCAGGCGGCAGAGGCAGGCAGATCTCTGTGAGTTCAAGGCCAGCCTGGTCTACAGAGCTAGTTCTAGGACAGCCAAGACTACACAGAGAAACCCTGTCTCGAAAACTCAAAAAAAAAAAAAAAAAAACTAGAAATCTGATTTTGATGGAGTTCTACTTTCAGAATCAAAGATATACCAATCTCATAATTTATAAGCACTTACTAAAAATAGATGAAAAGTTCTGAGAAGAATTTTCTCTAACAGCAGTATTCCTACTCACCTTCTTTGCTTGCTGTCTCTGCAGGCACGGGAAGGGATGCATTGTGCTGGACAGCTGCGTTGGCCACAGCATTTGCTGTTACAGTGAAGGCAGTCTGGGGAACCAGCCGGGGCATCAGTGGTACCAATCTACGCCCTTCAATGGACCATTCTGAAGAACTATTAGGTCCAGACATACTAAACAAAAGAGAAAATGCTGCTACAAGGGTTTGCACTTGCTAAAAATGAGTCAAACAAGCACAATCTTTTAAATGATAAGAAGTACCCTGAATTCCGGAGAAGCTTCATTTTAAGCAAGCAAGATCAACTTAGGTACAATTAAATTCAAGGAATGCCACACACCAAGGTTCTTATACACATTATTCTATAATTTGAATAACTATGAAATTTTTTTTCTATGCTTTGAAAATAAAAAAAAATTGGTATTAGTTTTATGAAACTGGATTTCACAAATGAAAACAAATATTTCTATTAATAAAATTAACTTTTAGAACTTAATTTTGGTCTAGGGCCATACCACCCTGAATGCGCCCGATCTCGTCTAATCTTGGAAGCTAAGCAGGGTCAGGCCTGGTTAGTACTTGGATGGGAGAACTTAATTTTGTAACTATACAAAGAAAGTAAAAACACTGGTACTGTTAAGAATCAGAGTTTCTTTTACAGTTAAAGGTGGAGTTCAGTGAATCTTTGCAAAATTTTCTAACTGCCCACATGGCCAGAGATTCTAAAGGCTTTCAAACCCGAAAAACTGAGGCAGTAAACGAGAGGAGTTAGTAAGATGGGAAGAGCTGTACACAACAGCAGGTGCTGCTGCTCACTGCATTTTTATATTATCACCCTTCCTGTTTAAAAAAAAAAAAAAAAAAAAAAAGAGTAGAACTAAGCATTCTAAAAGAAATCCACACTATTTCACTTTATTTGTACGGTGTACTGTGTACTCTATCTAAAAAGCGCTTGAGGCAACTGGACCCTCTCTAAGACATTTTTAAAACTCTCTGCTTTAAATCTCAAATAAGTTTTGTTCCAGAAATCGGACCAGAGGTTAAAATATCAAGACAGTTGCTATATCTCTCTCTTGGCTTCATGAAACACCCTAATGATTAGTGTTCAAGGTTTAAAATTAATCTAGAAACAACTAATTTTCTTTACTAAATCAGAAATATCTCAAGTTTTATGAAACCACGGTGACGGTGACAGTGATGGGTGTTGTTCAAATCAACTAAGGGCATGTTCCATACCAGGCATTGCTCTACATAGCTTATGTATATTAACTCAGTTCCCTCAACAATCCTATGAAATTGATAGTATTGGCATCTCCATTTTCTAGAATGAGAAACTAAGTCACAGAGAAGTTAAATAACTTGCCTACAGCTACAATACTAATAAATGTCTCCTTCAACAAGTATATATTATGCTTCCATAATTATTTGTCATATCATAAACAAAGAATAAAAGTTTTCTAGTGGGTTTTATGGGTAGCTTTTTCTTTATACCAATTGAGCAATTATTGTCTAATTACTGCCAACTTTTGCTGCAGGGAATAAATTACAACTTAAAAGGTATTTAAAACAGGCATGATAACACAAGCCTTTAGCCTTTAATCCCAGCACCCTCTTAGTAAAAGTAAACTGAGTTCATAGTCAGCCTAGTTTACATAGTCAATTCCAGGCCAGCCAAGGGTACATAATGAGACCCTGTCTCAAAACACCAAAAGAAAATAAAACATTGTCTCAAAAAAAAGGAAGGGACAAAGGGAGGGGGAAGAGAGGGAAGGAAGGGAAGAGGAAAGGAAGGAAAGTGGGAAAGAAGAAGGTGAAAGAAAAAGGATATAAGTTGAAGAATTTCTAAAAGCTGGCAAATCCAGTTAGGTTACTGAGAAAAATATATTCTTTTGTAATTTAAAGCAGTATTACATAAGGAAGGGTGGACTTCCTGAGGCCCCACTAACCTCACAAATATATGACATAAGCTCCATGTTAACACTAGTTAAAAAAAAAAATAGTACAAACAAAAAGACATAAAAGTGTTATTACAAATTGTTAAATGAAAATATTCCAAAAACTACCATTTTCTATGATAGCACTCCTATTCTGATATAATTTTATTAGACTATCACTGATAAATTTATTTAGTATGAGTTTACCACACAAATACAATGACTTCTACACTTACCTGGTGTATTGTTTAAATGGTGGCAGAAATTGTGGAAGATTAATAATATGAAGCACATGGACATATGCTCCTGAAAAAATGAAGCTTGCAGTGCAAAAAGACAACTGCAACTTTTAGGAAGAACTGTAAGTCTCCCAAATGTCCACTCATGCAAGCATGCTCAAACATTAAATGAATGAGAAATGAAATATCTTGTTAGAATTAGGTCAAAAGTTCCAATTTGCTTAGTGACAAGGTTGTAAATATGTGTTAGCTGCACAAGTCATCTAAGAAAATTTAGAAATTAAATATTGTACCTGAGGGTTCACAGGTCCCCTCAGTTTGTACACTCGCCTGCCTCTCTAGTCATCCAAGGACCACAAGGAAGATGCAAATCCTGCTCTGAGAAAGCCACATACTAATGAGCTACAGTTGGCAGCAGTTAAGAAAGCTGCATCATCACACAGAAACACAGTATCCTGGGAATGCCTGATAGCTGGCAGAAGTGCAGAGATCTGATATTCCAAACTATCATTTCAGTCTCATTGTAGAGACAACGAGGACAAAGAGTGGCCTAAGCAAAACATGTGAAGCATTAATAATGTTATAACTAAGAACTCAGTTACTATATCAAATAACAAACACCATCCCAGTCGAGCCTTGGAGAAGGCCTTTACTTTGGTATGGTTTTTCTTTTGTCAGGACCCTTACTCCTTTTGTCCCCCTTCTTTCCTGCTCAATCTTCTAAGCTTTCCCATCACCTTTCAAGTTCATTCCTTCTGGGTTACACAGCAATTTTAAGTGGGGGAGGGAGGAGGAGAAGGGAATGCAGTCAGCTTAGATGTATTCCTCTAACTGTTTTTACAGACTAACGCCCTCATAGTTCATCTCTTGGTCTCCACTGCTATATCATATCCAAAGGCAAGAAAATGTTACAAATCCTCATCTCCTGACTCTTGGGCTCAACAAGTAAATGTAGTAACTCGACAAACTAAAACCACAATATAAAACATTAAAATCTGAGTACAGAAAGACCTAAGAAGGTGTTTTGTTTTGTTTTTAATCATATACTGAAGTAAAGTCTTTTTCAAAAAAAAAAAAAAAAGAAAGAAAAGAAATTCATATATTAAAGAATCAGAAAGGGCGGGCCAAAGAAACACAGGTGGAAAGAAGCCAACTCTCAATTATCCATGCTAATGGAGAGAGGAAGGAAAGGGAGAGGTCCAACAGGTTAAAGAAATCCACATACTATCCAAAAATTGTTTTAGAAAATACTAGCAAATTCTTGCACCAATTATTTTTCAGGCCAACTAAAAAGTAGTGAAATGAGTTATAAGAATTTTCACCTCCTCTCCCTTCCCACCCTCTGACTAGAAATTTTCCCAAGCAGCAAAAATGGCTAAAGGTCGGGCAGTATTAGGAAGGTGAGGAGGGAAAAGAAGGAGAAGCGAGGGGCATGGTTAATTCATAAATGGAGTATGTGCCCCTGAATAATTGAGAGCGTCAATTTGGAAATATATACAAGAAAAAGCCTGAAATAATAATAACCTATTTGCATACCTGTAACTTGGTCTTTCACCCAAATATAAGGATAAATTCATTCTTAAAAGGGGAAAAAAGGAAAAGGAGACTAAATAAATGTTATCCTTTAAGAATGACACTGATGCATCAACTTATAACTCATTGCCCCACAATACCATCTGAATACTTCTAATGTATTCATTTTCTACTTTATTATCTAGCAGATTCCTATCACCAGTTCCTAAAATTAGAATTGAGACCCAGTTTAAAGCATTCCAATTCAAAAGTCTGAAGCAAATTCAAAAAGGAACACACTAAATTTGAGTGTTTTAACTATGTTAGCCTGACAAGTAAACACTAGTTTCTATTCTCTATATGGAATTTCTAAATTTCTACAATGCATACCTACCACGGAAGAAATTTCAGACTTACAGAACAAACAGCAAAACATTCAACCTACACTGTTAAAGAGGTGAGTACCCCATTGTATGTGTTAAGCAAAATGAGGGACAGTGAAGTACAAGAAGCCAACAGAGCTGTGTAATCAATTCAAATTCTGCCAAATGCCTTAGGCCATCACATTATGGTAACACAGTGAGTTCTTTTTCCTTAAGTTTTACATATTAAAACATAAAAACTAAAACAAACGAATTATACTTTCACATCTTATGAAATGTTTCATCACTGAAAGGACTACTTCTGATCCTTCTGTTCTTCGGGAGGCACTATCTCTCTGTAACTAATGGTTGATTCTGCTCTCAGTCCTCTGCCACCCTCTACCCAACCTGTCAGTTATGACGATCTGGAAACAATTTGATAAGAAAACTTTATAATTTTATTGTGTTTTCTTTTTAAAGTACATTAAGTTATATTTGTATCTCTTAAAAGAACATATATTTTATATTTTTTCTGAATCTCAAAATAGCTGAAATAATTAGAGCCATAAAAATTGTAATGCCTATTTATAAGGCAATATACATATCAGATACCATTACAAGAAACCTCTAAGCACCTTTCAATTTAAGGAGGCATGCTACTTGGTATTGAGCTGTGCTTCCAATGGTCTTTGGTTATACAGAAATTACCTTGTAATAGGATTTGACCTAAGTACTTTAAGCTTCCCTAACAAAATGCAAAACAAAAAGTAACCAATGGAGTAAACAGTATTCACTATAGGCAGGGTCTCTTGAGTATAGAGTTATTATTAAGATAATAGACTCAGGGACCTGCCATACAAAAGGAAGACTGTCTCAAAACTACTTTATACTACATCATTTAAAAAAATCAGGGGTGGTAGACTAATGGCTTACTTATGTGCAATTGTTGTTAACCGTTCATCGTTTACTGCTCTCCGAACTTCAGCACGGTGGCGTTCTGTTGAGATGCTATGAAAAAAAATAGCCATTATAGAACTCTGCCAAGCAGGCAGCTCTTCTCTATACTTTTATTAATGTTTAAGTCAACATCTTTTGGAGGCTGAAGATAACTTTCCTAATGTGTATCTTCACATGTTTCAAAGTCACAGGAAAGGTTTCATACTGATTCTGTGTAACTGAGGATTATCTATCCGGAAATCTCAGGAACACAAATCAGCCTGGAATGCAGATTTTTCCCATCTGTGGAATAGCAGGCCATGGTAAGACTAGCAGTACTTCCTGTTAACTAGACATGGAAACAGGTGCTCAAGGACCTCCTTATCTCATGACTGCTGCCAGGAGGACTGGGCACTTAGAAGAAAATCTTCTAAGGTCTTTCTAAGGCTTAAGAGTCTAATAATTTTATGTTCAATGAATATAATAAAAGCAGTAAGAGTGGCAAGATAACAAGTTTCTTGTGAGTACATGCAATGAAACGTGACTCAACTTCAGTTAGGTGACTTCTACATTATGCTACCCATGGTAAGAATGTGTATATATATATATATATATATATTAAACACTGATAAATGGAACAATTTTTAGAGACTACATCCCTTATATTCATAAATACTCAATAAGGTGAATACCACTCTTGTATTCTTTAGCACTTAACACTAAATTTATAGCGTGGATCACAACACTTAAGGACTAAAAGCAGAATTTATGAGGAAACAAAAAAAAAAAACATGACTGAGAATCTGCTTACATTCCCATATTAATGTTAATTAAACAATAAGAGACTCTTCCACATTCTCACTTCTAAAAATAGAACAAAATAAATTTAAATGTAGAAAATAAATGAGTTAAAGCAGAACATTTTCTGAGAAAGCATAAGACAAAGCACCAAGGAATCCCTTTCATTAGAGTTGTCTGATGGATTCAAGTGCCACTCTAGCTCAGGTAAAGGAATTAACTAGATTTAGGCAATGACTATAAAACTAACACCCACTTACATGGTGAGCCATCTTGCTTACATCCCTTTTTTACCTTCAATAAAAAAATGCCACTCTATATCGTGAAATTCAATTATACCAGCTCTTCTCTCTTTCACCTCTGTCAAAGGACTTCCCACTCCAGGTGCCCAAAAATACCTGCCCTAAACCCTTGTGGATTATATATACAACAAAGACTACATTTCCCCATTTCCTATAGCAGAAAGCACACAACTGGAACATGGCCTCTCAGCATCCAACAAACTGAACACCTCTGATCTTCAATTTGAGGATGAAAAGAAATAAAACCCCATAAAATGAGATTTTTATTCACATCACCAAAACTTTCGTGACAAATTACCTAAGGACTTTTGATAGTTCTCCAAGAAGATCTTTTTTTTCCTTGGTGAGATCTCCCTGTGCACGAAGTGCACTGATAACTCCAGCATATGCCTCCAATTCTAGAAAAAGAAAAGTTTTTTTTTTTTTTTAATCAAGGTAAGCCTTCAATTCTGAATAATGTGACTATACAATATTAAACTTCTGGGAAAGAAATCCAAATCAACCAAATGCAAATTTTCAAATTCCTTTCAAAAATGTTATTGAATAAAAAGATTTCAGAGTTGTTTTATCATTTATATTGCTTTGTTATACAATGTCTCACACCAGTCAAGGGTATAAAATGCTTAGGAAAGAAAATCTCTAACATATTATTAAATAACAGGTAACCTAGCCAGGTATGGTGGCTACACCTTTAATCTAAGAGCTTTACATTTATAAAAACTACCATCTAAGAAATTAAAACATAAAAAGCTACCATCAAAATGACTAATTAGTCTGGGCACTGTAGTACATGCCTATGTACTTCCTCACAAGGCTGAGGAAGAAAGATGGAGAATTCAAGGACAGCATAGGATACATAGCAAAACACTAATTCAGAGAAGTATAGGCAGGAGAGGTGACTCGTGCTTGGGCTTGATGCATCAGCTCATGAGTTTACTCCCCAATATCCACTTTAAAAAAGAAAAGGAAATGAAAAGCAGATGTGGTAGTACATAAATATCATCCTAGTGTTGACGGAGGCAGAGAGACAAAAGGATCCTCCAAACGTGCTGGCCATTAAGCCAGCCTAGCCTACTGAACAAGTTCTAGGTGAAACACCCCACCTTAAAAAAAAATTAATTAAAAATATATATATTGCTGGGCATCGGTGGCTCACACCTTTAATCCCAGCACTTGGGAGGCAGAGGCACGTCAATCTCTGAGTTCGAGGCCAGCCTGGTCTACAGAATGAGTTCCAGGTCAAGCTCCAAAGCAATACAGAGAAGCCCTGTCTCAAAAAACCAAAAAACAAACAAACAAAAAATTTTAAAAGCATACATTAAGTGGATGATTCCTGAGGAACAACATTTGAGGTTATTGTATTTTCCACCTGCATGTGCAGAAATACACAAATACACACATGCACTTGTGCACACAAAGATACAAATGTAAGTCAGACACATGCCTGTAATCCCAGTACTCGAAAGTGAAGCAGAAAGATTGTAAGTTTTGGGCTATCTTAGGCTAAACTAGACCCTGCCACAAAAAATAAAGTAAAACAAACAAACAGAACAAAAAAGCCAAAATATACATATAAATCAAAAGTCCTCAAGCCCTCCCCCAGCAAAATATGCAGGCCTCTCACTACCACCCAGTATAGTCTTTGTGTCGTCTCCTCCCATACCAATTCTAGATTCTGTGCTACTTTTGACCGACAGTGCATCAGCAAATAGAATGTAAATATTTGCTGAGTACTTGTACTTGTGGCCTTGCTCTCTAGGAATCGTAACATCAATAAGCTGTGAAGAAACTTAGAAAGAAAGGCCACAAAGAGAGAGAGGCTTAGCCACCTCAGCTATACTCTAGTCCCCTGCTAAGCTTCTGGCTGAATGAAATTACAGGAGAGATCAGACAACACCAACAACAAAGAGGACAGAACAAAGTAATAAAACATTGGATTGGATTTTTTAGCCATTTACACTATGAAACAGACACCAAAGCAAACCAGAATGTTAGACACAAATGTTCAAATTAGAATATCTTCATGTTCACTTTGTTACAAATATTTGCTATCTGCCCAACAGAAACACAGTAAATTCGGTTAACTAACGATAGACATTAAGTCTGCAGACTCAAAACTAACCAAGAAGTAAACAGTAGTCTCAGGTCTCATTCTGTTGATAGTATTCACAATTCTGTCAAAAGGAGGCCTTATGGGCTAAAGAGATGGCTGGCTCAACAGTTAAAAGAGCACTTGTTACTCTTCCAGAAGACATGGGTTCAAATACCACACAGTGGCTCAAAATCATCTATAACACCAGTTCCCTAGAATCCACCTCTTCTGGCTTCCCCAGTCAACATGTATACACATGGTGAACAAACATACACACAGGCAAAATATCTATACATATAAAATAAAAATAATCTTTTTTTTAAAAGAAGCTTTATATAGAGGGATGGGCTCAGTAAATGAAGCAGAAATGTGTAGTTCAACTGAAATACCCTGAGTGTGAGCATCTTGCATAACAAGTATGTACTACATACTATACAGACACCACATGCAGTGTCTTTCAAAAGACAAAGCTCTGCTGCTCCAAAGGCGAAAAGTAATATTAAGTTCCAAGAAATATATTTCAACTCTGACTAGAGGTGGAAGAGATTACAAAAAAGGCACTAGGAATAGCCAGCTGAAAATTCATTATACTAAATTTTTATGCCCCATTAAAATATTTATGGAGCCTGGCAGTTGATGGTGTACACCTTTAATCCTAGTATTTGGGAGAAGGAGGCAGGCAGATCTCTAGACAGCAAATTCCAAAACAGCTAGGGCTGTTACAGAAACCCTGTCTCAAAAAACAAAAATCAATCAATCAATCAATAATTAAATAAATAAATAAATAAAAATAAAATTATGGGATATTCTATTCAACAAATCAATGTTAAGTCTAATACATACACACTTAAGAGAGTTAACTCTGGCCCTCAAGTATTTAACTGCAAAATACAGACGGGTGGAAAAATGTCATCAGGCAATCACAATAGTTTGGAAACACAAGTTTTCATCAGGGAGAGAACTATGTGTGTGTGGGGGGAGGGGGATGAACTACTATAAAAGGAATAGAGAGCAAAAGAACTAAAAATACTTCACATTACTTCAGTAACTTCCAGTAACAATAACTACTTTTAAGTTTTACATTAAAGGAAGTAAAATTGTCTATAGTTGACCAGTAATTAATTCAAACAAAATTACTAAAAGAATATTATAAGACAGTATACCAAGGAAGATATTTAAATAAATTTAGGTATAAAGTCCCTACCCTCAAGATGATTAAAATCAAAGTCTAAAAATGGTATGTGTGTGTTAGATAGATGATTGATAAACAGACATATAAACAGTTATGAAGGTTTTATTTCACACATGCAAGAGAACACAAAAAAGGGAAACAAGTAATCTGTGGTTAGACTAAGCAAATCCTTTAATCCCAACTTAAAAAGAGTTATCTGATAGAACTCAGTAACTGATTGTAAAAATGACAAAAAAAAAAAAATGAGTAATATTTTAGATTTTGCAAAATGTTTAAGACAGTAAAAATTCCATAAAAAGAAACAGATCAGACTGACAAGGTGGCTTGAGAAAAAAGACAAAAACACTATTTCCATTTCAGGTTTTATTGTTTGTTTTTGAGACAGTCTTGTATGTGTAGCTCAGACTAGCTTTAAATTCTGGTCCTTTTGCCTCCACCTTCTTAGTGCTGGGATTACAGGCATGTGCTGCCATGCCTTATTTAAAAATGCACTATTTCAAAGAAAACATAATTAACTGAATATGACAACAGTGGCAAGATGTCTCAGCAGGTAAAGGAACTTGCTAACAAGTCTGATGACCAGAGTTCAATCCCCAGGACTCACATAGTGGAAAGAAAAAACCTGATTCCTGAAAGCTGCAGCTTGACCTCTACACTTATTCCACAACATGTATGCAAGATCTTGCCTGCATGCACACACACAAATTTAAAATGTAGTATTCTTTTTCCTTTTTAGAAAGAGTCTTACCATGTAGATCTGGCTGACCTGAAACTCACTATATAGACTAAGCTGGCCTTGAACTCAGAAAACCACCTGCCTCTGCCTCTTTGAATGCTAGGACTAAAGACAGATGCCACACCTGGCTAAAATGTAATAAAATCTTTTAATATGACAACATTTCTGACATTTCAAGTTTCATTTGAAACTAAACTAGAAAGTCATATACAAAATTAGGAGGTGGCAATATCCAGCACACAAAACTGTGGCTCTGAAAACATTACCTCTCCTACACAATTCCCAGCATCCCTGTAAGTAGTCCAGTCACAATTAGAACCTTTACTTACTTCCAAGCTTCCTTCCTATTTGTAGACAAGCATGCTTATTATGGGCATCCTGAGATTCTGAGTTATCTTAAACTTTGTTTAGTTTCTGGTACTATTCTATTTTAGGGTTAATTCCAGTGACAAAAAAAATATAATGAAGCTGGGCAGTGGTACATACCTCTAATCTTAGCACTTGAGAGGCAGATCTCTGAGTTTAAGGCCAGCCTGGACTACAGTGAGAGTAGTAGGACAACCAGAGCTATATAGTGAGACCTTGTCTCAAAAAACAAAAACAAAAAAAAAAAAAAAAGTATAATGAAATAATAAATACATGTGAATGCCTCAGAAACAAAAGATATGGCACACTACTTTTATAAAACCCTGCACCAGGTCCATTTAAACCAATCAGCCACTAAGTGTTCTTTAGTCATAAAGCCCCCAAGTCAGTTAAGTTACAACTCAAGAGTTATAAAAATAAGGCAAATGAGAGGTAGTCAAAAAGTAGCAAGAGTTTACCTGCTACTGGTGCCATGAGTCTGTCATAAACTGTCTAACCCAACTTCTTTTTTTTCTAATGAGTATTTTGCTTGTATGTCCATATGTCTATGCACTATGTGTGTACCCGATATCAAAGTGAGTATGGATCCCCAAAAATGGAGTTACAGATAATTATGAGCTGCCATGTGGGTACTGGGAACTGAACTCTCTATAAGCCAGTGCTCCCAACTGCTGAGTTATCTCTCCAGTACTGTCCCCTCTGCCCACCCCCAATTTCTTGATAATTAAAATGTTTGGCATTCTACCTTGAAACAATTTATGGTTGTTTCTAAAAGGACAAAGTTTTAAGCTAACAATACTTTTTAAAAATGTGTGTGTGTGTGTGTGTGTGTGTGTGTATGAGAGAGAGAGAGAGAGAGAATACCATGTTAGAACAGGTACCCAGAGAGAGAGAGAGAGAGAGAGAGAATACCATGTTAGAACAGGTACCCAAAGAGTCCAGAAGAGGGCATGAGATCCTTGGAGCTGGAGTTACAAGTAGTTGAGAACAGCCTGACATAACCCAAGACTGTAGAACTCTCTCCAGCCCTTAAGCTAACAGTAACCTGGGGGAGGGGGGGAGTCTTTTGTCAAATTGCTGTCAAGGTCCACCTTTCTAAGTGTCCCTGGAACCAGCAGGGCCATGAACGATGGCTGCTTTCTTTAGCACAGAAGTAGCCCCCAGCAGCATCTCCCACACCGTCTACCTAAAACTATAGACACATTCATTCTAGTTATTTTTTACTTTTACTTTTTTTTATGCTGAATTTTTTACTGCACCCTAAATCTATTTCTTCAGTTTCCTCTGGGATATCACTTTTTTTCTGTGCAATCTCCTCTTTTAGCTTAAGAAAAATCTGAACCTCGTCAATGATGATCAATCTGATGTGGCAAGGAGAGCACCAAAAACAGGTCAATCTGACCCTAAGTTGTGTAAGTCCACTAGCGCACCGTGGGTAATTTGTTCACTGTATATACTCAGTAACTGAGAATTTACATGTAAATCCAAGAGTTAAGCATTACTCTCTGCATTTTAAATGATATGCAGAAAACAAAAGAAAGCAATCTCCTTGACCAGACCCATTCTTAGGCCTGGGGATACATATTGGCCCCATCATGGTAACAACACAATGGTACATGTTGTTTTTTATAAAGTGGCATCTTCCTGGTACCTGGTAGCTTTCCAGATCATGTATAACCTTGATGGTATTGGCAGTTTCATCATGGGTGATCATTCTTGAACACCAAAACTTTAACCTCTTGATGTACCTAATTTTACAGAGTTGTATCATCAAGCCATTTTCATATATCACCTCAAATCATTTATGGGAAAAATTAAGGGTAAATTTAAAGGTTACTAATTTTTATTTAAATGAAAACCCTTGATTCAAGGCTCTCAAAACAGAAACCTCAGTCCAGTTTACTGTCCTTATGATCTGTTCATCTAGCACTTTTTTTAACTTTGAAAGAGATGGAATTCAATTTTATAGCCAACAGCAAGTTACAATGATGCATGCGTACAGCCAAGTACCTTCAACACTGATAAAAGTTTGCATGTAAGTTTAAAATACTGCCCCTGCAACAGAACCCCCTTCAAACTGTTAAAACAATGTTAAATAGTTTGAAATCCTCAAGGGGGTTAGAAATAAAAGTGAAGACATTATTAGCAGTAGATCTACAGTAGCTACAGTTTTATCTGATCTACATATAGAATTCACAGCAAAGATTTCCTTTGAAGGAAACAGCATTTTTCACAGATTTCCATTTTAAATCAAAGATTCAAATGATTAGAGTTACTCTTTTTTTCCTCAATATTCCAAAGAATGACATGTAGCTAACACTATTTTTCATGCATGGGGAAAAAGCTAGTTCACTACATATGCCTTAACATTAAGGCTTACTTCACTCCCTAAATGCTTGTTGACAAGGGCAGCTATCAATGGAAAAAAGAGAAACATTAAATAATCAACTTTAAGCATAAAGTGTGTTTTACCAATTATAGTAATTAATTGGGAAATGGGCAGCTTGCATTAACTTAGAATCCAGAAAAGGCATGATTTACACATACACATCTATTAAAGTTAGTAGTATACTAACATGAGACCAAAAAAAGAAAAAAATTGCCCAGAGTAGTGTCTCTCAACCCCATGATCCTTTCACACGGGTTGCCTAAGACCACTGGAAAATACAGAATCGTATTCATATTACAATTCATAATAGTAGTAAAATTACAGTTATTAAGTCCCAACAATAATAATTTTACAGTTGGGGGGGGTCACCACAACATGGGAACTGTTTTAAAGAATGACAACATTAGGAAGGTTGAGAACCACTAGCCTAGAGTCAAATAATGACGGACTACATAACTTACTGTGAGCACTGCCTTAGGTTTAAACGTCATATGTAAAAAGGGAGACCAAAACAAAAGATCTATTTTGGGGCTTGAGTATTTTGTGAGAAGCTGACTTTAAGAACACACAACTGACAGGCGGATCTCTGAGAGTTCAAGACCAGCCTGGTCTACAGAATGAGTTCCAGAACACAATCCAAAGCTAGAGAGAAACCCTGTATAGGAAAAAAAAAAAGGACACACAACTTGGGGGTGGGGAGGGGTTGCTAGAAAGATGGCTCAATGGTTAAGAGGACTGACTGCTCTTCCAGAGGACCTGGGTTCAATTCCCAGCACCCACACAGCTGCTAACAACTCCAAGATCTGATACCCTCACACAAACATACATGCAGGCAATACCCCAATGCAAATAAAATAAAAATAAATTAAAAAAACAAAAAACAGCAAGGCAGTGGTAATGCCTGGTCTACAGAGTGAGTTCCAGGACAGGCTCTAAGGCTATACAGAGAAATTCTGTCTCAAACAAAACAAAAAACAACAACAGCCAGGCTTCCTATTTACCCATTTAGCATGGCTCCTTGTATCATAATTCCTGTATCCCACTTGCAAATTTTTCTAGGCCTTGGGAAAAGTGAGAAAGATGAGGACTAACAGCCATGACACACACCCAGGAAAAAAGAAAATAAAAAAGGTTACAGAAAAATATAAAACAACAAAAATAAAACCATTGGCCAGGCGGTGGTAGCCCACACCTTTAGTCCTAGCACTCGGGAGGCAGAGACAGGCAGATCTCTGTGAGTTCGAGACCAGCCTGGTCTACAAGAGCTAGTTCCAGAACAGCCTCCAAAACCAGAGAAATCCTGTCTCAAAAACCAAATAAATAAATAAATAAATAAATAAATAAAACCATTAGGTAGGCATAGGTGGAACATAGCTCTGGTACCAGAACTTGGGAATCTGAGGAAGGAGAATCGCCATGATTTTGAAGACAGTGAGACCCTGCTCAGAACAAAAACAAAATACATACCCAATTTTCGAAGAATTCGTTTGCATTCATCCCTGCTGAGATCCAAAAGGGTTGGCCACACAACAGGCATTGCTGCTTCTGTTTGGTAGCCCCAAAGAGCTTGTCCTCCCTATCAGAAGAAAAACAATTCAAAGTATATGCAATAGGTCACTATTACCAAAGTATATGCAATAGGTCACTCGCTTGAAGATCCATCCACAGGCTACGAAGTAAAACTGTAAAGATACATCATAACCATCTTTCATCACCACACTTTCCAGCTTCTGACAAATGAATCAAACCACCATTTGAAAGTACATTGATCCAGCTCATATTAACAGTGGAAAGAGCACAAGTTTTAGAGTCAAACACTTGATTCCACTTCCAGCTTTTAAGAGTAATAGTGTTTCATTCTGGTGAAGTGACCTGTCTGAACCCACTTTGTACAGATTTGTGGGGGAAAAAAGTAATCCCACTCAGTTTGTTGTGATAAGTATTAAAAAACAGAGCATGTCAAGTTCTTTCATTAGTGGCTGGCATATAACTTGCCAAATAGATTCTACCGCCTGTGCAACCTTGGACAAGTGACTTGACCTCTGCCAGTTTCCTTAACAATAGGTTATGATTTAAAATAAGCAAGGGTAGAGCATGTTATTGGGTAAACGGAACTTAATAAATAACTTTTCCTTCAAGTTTTGGCAGTAAAATAGCCATGAATCCACCAATTATCAAAATTTTAGATGCCCGGGATTTCACACTGAGAATTCTCTGGTCTGCAGAGCAAAAAGACACAGAACCGGTAATTCACACACTACCGGCTGAGCACACAGCAGACCTTCCTTAAATGTCTGTTAAACTGATAAAAGGATAGTTAGGAGGAGAATAGAATGAATAAATGAATGAGCCAGCTTAAGAGTCAAAGACTAAACCGATATAACTCTTCTATTGCGTTCCAGGCTCTGGACTGCTAACTCCAACTCTTGGCCTCAAGTGGAGCCTCCTTCCCCCTACTTCCCATCGTCCTCTGAGCTCAGAACCAACCCTGAGCAAACCGAACTGGACTGCGCGCCGCAGCTGGCAGGATGACATAAAGAAAGGGGGTGGAGAGGAGGAAGGGGCAGAGCCAAAGGAATCCGCTCGCTCCCCAAGCTAGTCCCCGCCTCTCGATAGGATCTCGGAGGCGGCGGGCGACCGCCCGAATCAGGCACCACGTCACGGCATCCCAAAGCATCCCCTCTAGCGAAGCCCACAGCGGAGGCGCACAGCAAAGGGAAGCCGAGCGGTAGCAGCCGGAGCGCGCTTCGGGGACCTGGACCGCAACGACTCGGTGCCCCGCTCAAGTGTCAGCAGGCAGCCCGCCCCGCCCCCTCTCCAAACACGCACTCCTCACAGCACCACAACAAGAGCAGCCCGCCCGGCTCCTCGCCTGCGCGGCTCAGCACTGGTCCCAATGTCAAGCCCGCGCCCCCGCGGCCAGCAGCCGGTCTCGGGAACCCTGGCCAGCGTCCGCGCCTCGCGCTCTCCTCAGTGGAGAGGACAACGGAGAAAAAGCAGGGACGCGGACAGCCAGCCAGACGCCCCGGATCACCCTGGGGTTCCTAAACCTCGACCTCCGGTGTCCCATCACCAAGCGTGCCGGAGTCCCCCTCGGTCCACTTGAGGGAGCCCCGCGATCCCGTTAGGAAACAACGGAGGATGGGACTGACCGCCCCAAGCCGGGCTCCCTATGGCTGGCCGGCGCCCCCATGCCCTGGATAACCTGCCAGCTCTTCCCGGGACCCTGCCTGAGAGACACCCACCTGCCCGGCCTTTCGGGGCTCATCTAAAAGGCTCCTCCGCCAAGACTAGGGGACACCAGGAATTAGGTTTGTTTGCGGTGCCTCAGAAGGGGCAAGATGGCGACAGATACCAGAGCGCAGGCGCAAGCGCGCGCGGCTCATCGGGAGGTGTAGTTCGCCTTTCCCGCCTTTTGAGAAACGAACACTCAAAAGCCTCCATTCGTTCTGCCCTTTTTCCACTGCGTTTTGAAAGGAATGGACGGGCGTCGCGTGACCTGCTGGGAGTTGTAGTCCGAGCTCTAACGATGTCCTCTTTCTCTCTGCTTGCCGGTCGCGTGCGCAAGGAAGTCTGGGAGTGTAGTTCCTTTTGGCTTCTACAAGACCCTCCAGTCTCTGGCTTCGCGCGCCTATCCTCCCGGCCGTTCCCAGCCAATCGGCTGCTCTTTCAGCTAAACGTGTGGCGTCACACGTACCGGTAAAAATGGCGTCGGTAATTGGAGCTGAGCTCCGAACTTTACTCTAACCAGGTTAAGGATAAAAAGAACGCAGCTTGGTCCCTGATGAAGGGTTGAGGATTAAGATCTGGTTCCTCAAACTCTTGGGAGCAATCACCCGCGCCCTTCAGCCACCCAGACGACAACTCAAGAGAGGTTATTCACCCTACGAAAACGGAGAGAGGATCTCACAATGGCCCGCACCCCCTTTCTCGGTGTTAAAAGTTGCAAGTCGAGAAAGGGAATCCGAACGTTCTCGCCTAGGGGTTATACCGAAATAGGAAAGATAATGATATCTCGTGCTATGTCTGTCAAAGGGAAGAAGGGATTTACTTGTGGCACTACGATATGGTAGGTTCACACTCAGCCTTTGTTATTACTTAACCACACCATGTTGTGGAAGTCTTGTGTGTGTCCCCGCGGGCCCCCCCCCCCGCCCCATCTTACAGATGGAAAGAGGCCCAATATAATGTTAAAACTATCCGGAAAATCAAAATTAGTTTTTACTATTGTAAATTCCCATCACATTTTGTGGTGTTCTCCCTCTAAATGTACTCAGGTACATCGGATGCAATGAAAGTGCACAAATCTAAAGGAATTGTTGGTATGCATCCTGCTGGGAGGACATTAGCTCAGTGGTAGATTGCTTGTAGAGTACGTGCAAAGACCGTAGCCCTGAATTTTAATTCCTAGCACGAAATGGGGTGGGGGTTGACGTCAAAACCTCCTCTGTGGGAATATTCAGATACACAACATGGATAAAACTTCTTTTCCTGTGGGTCACTAAGAATTACAGTTGTGATCCCAGCACTGGGGAAGTGGAAGAAGGAAGATCAGGAAGCAATTCAAGGTCAGCCTGAACTGCAAGAGGCCCTGTGACCAAAAACCGTTTTGGGTTCTTTGTTGTTGTTTTTAATAAATTGTGCATAAATGTAAGTCTATTCGTTCTCTTGAATGGAATTGTAGGTTAATAAGGAATAAAAAGGACCATTTAAGTTTCCTTCATGTCTCTCCTGACCTTTCTATGCACATTATGGTTAATTGCTTAAGAATACCTTATAAGGTGGTAAATTAAATCTTAATAGGAGACTTTGATTTAACATCCTTAATTTGACCCTTGCAGCATCTCCATGAGGCAGGTGTAAGTAAGCTTCCCCATCCTGTGAATGGAAAGGCACAGTTGTTCAGGAACTGGTGAACCAAGGGCTGCATAATAGAACCCTGTCTCAAAAGGCAGCAATGGGAAGCTGGAGAAATGGCTCAATGGTTAAGAGCACTTCCAGAAAAGCTGGGTTCCATTTCCAGCATCCTCAAGGAGGCTCATAACCACATATAAATCCAGTTCCAGGAGTTCCCCGGGTGCTGCACAGATAAACTGCACAGCATGAACATTGTACAAAGGCACACACAGGCAAAACACCCATACACAGAAAATAATCGTTTTAAAGATTTATTTATTATGTATACAGTGTTCTGGCATATAGATGGTTGTGAGCCTCCATGTGATTGTTGGGAATTGAACTCAGAACCTCTGGAAAAGCAGCCAGTGCTATTAACCTTGGTACCATCTCTCCAGTCCCAGAAAATATATTTGTTTTAAAGATTTATGTATTGTTTACAGTGTCGGTCTGTATACCTGCAGGTCAGAAGAGGGCACCAGATCACATTACAGATGGTTGTGAGAATTGAATTCAGGACCTCTGGAACAGCAGTCAGTGCTCTTAACCTCTGAAATAGATTTTTAAAAGGCAACAACAAAGCTGGAGAGCTGACTCAGAGATTAAGAGCACACCATGTTACAGAGCTCAAAACATAGTTATGGTCATTTGAAAATTCCTGGCTAGGCTGGGCGGTGGTGGTGCACTAAGCCCAGCACTCAGGAGGCAGAGGCAGGCAAATCTCTGTGAGCTCAAGGCCAGCCTGATCTACAAAGTGTGTTCCAGGGCAGCTAGGTCTATTACACAGAGAAACCCTGTCTCAAAAAAACAAAAAAAGAAAATCAGTGGCTAGAACAAGCTATGGAAAGAGACCAACCAGGTATATGAATTTTTGTGGCTAATACATAATAAAAGTAACAACTAAAATTATATTCACAGCTTTCTCTATTTTAGGTGCTGTTCTGTATATTAGCTTCCTTAATCCATACAATAACCTGATAGTAACTGTAGTAGTCATAGTTCTCTAGAGGAACAGAACTAAAGAATAAATGGATAAATAATAATATATATGGAATTTATTAGAGTGGGTCCAACTAATCCAACAATGGCTGTCTTCCCACAAAAGGTCCAAGAATCCAGTAGTTGTTTAGTCCATGAGAATGGATGTCTCAGCTGATCTTCAGTACACATTGGAATTCTGAGGAAGTAGGATCTATGCCAGTGCAGGGATACACTTGCCAGAAAGAGCAAATAAGGAAAAGAGAGCAAGTTTCCTTCTTCCATGTCCTTTATACACGGTGCCAGCCCAGATTAAAGATGAATCAGCTCACCTCAAAAGATCCAGATTAAAAGTAATCTTCCCACTTTGAACAATTTAGTTTTTTAAAAAAAAAAAAAAAAATTCTCAATGAGTATACCCAGCCACGTGGGGTTTAGTTAATTCCAAATGTAGTCAAGTTGACAACCAAGAATAGCCATCGAAATAGCCATGTTTTAGTAAATTAAAAAAAAAAAAAAAGGCAAGACAGGTTAAATACCATGCATAACAGATTAAAGTGGCAAAGCTATGATTTCAAATGGATTAACTTCTGAGGCAGAAGTAAGACAACCCTACTAGACCTTAATGATCAGAATTGCCTAGTCTGGGAGAATGCTTAGGAGTAGATAGAATGCCTGCCTTAACTATTCCTTGCTTATCTAAGCAGCTAAAGTATTAAAACTGATTTCATCAAGATAAGAGGTCTGACACTGAACTAGAGAGATAGCTCAACAGTTTAAAGCACGTGCTGTTCTTGTAGAGGGTTCCATCCCCAACAATCATAGTGGCTCACGGCTATCCAGAACACCAGTTCCAGGGGATCTGACATCCTTTTTCTGACTTCCTGGTTCACATACATGCATGCAGACAAAACACTCAAACACATAAATTAATCTAAAATGTGGGGGGGGCGAGGATTTTGTTTTTAATTACGTGTATGTGTCTGTGGTGGGTTTGTACACATGATCACGGTGCCAGAAGAGGCCAACCGAGGGCATGGAATCCCTTGGAGCTGGAGTCACACAGGTAGTTGTAAACCTGCCATGGGAACTAAATGAGTTCTTCTGCAAGAGCAATAAACACTCTTAACTGCTAAAGCATCTCTCCAACCCCAACCTGGCTCACTTCTACATTTAAGCAAGAAAAGAGTCCAAAGAAGTAATGTAATGGAAGTCACATGAGGCTTTTATGGCAGGACTGTGACTGCTGGCTACTGTTCTTTCTACTGTACTACACTGCCCTTAGAGTCTTGCCTTTAAGAAGTTTGCCACTCTGATGCAGCCAAGAGATATACTGAAAACTGTACTATCAACTAAAACAAAATTTAAGGGCTGAAAAGAAAGGAAACAAGGTAATTGAGAAATAAAATTAACGTTCCTGAAATCAAATCGCATCAGAAACAGCTTGAACAATCTAGAGTGGCTTCAGAAAGAACAATAAAACATCTGGCCCCTGCCTCAACTGCAGACATTCTGCCCCCTAAATAGCTAGCGTTTGTTCTTTCTTTCTTTCTTTCTTTCTTTCTTTCTTTCTTTCTTTCTTTCTCTCTTTCTCTCTTTCTCTCTTCCCTCCTCTCTTCCCTTTTCGCTCTCATTTATTTATTTGTTTGTTTGTTTGTTTGTTTATTTTTTGAGACAGGATCTCTCTGTGCAGCCCTGGCTGTCCTGGAACTCACTCTGGTCTCAAACTCTGAAGAACACCTCTGTGGAATAGGGCTTTTTGTTTTTCTGTTTTTGCAAACCCTTTTCTTCATCCACCAGACTGTTCCCTCTACTCTTGCATTCACCATCATAAAAGCCTTTTATCATTGTTGCTGCTGGCCATCTGCACACTTCTGTGACCATATATTGAACTTCATTCTACCAGTCTGTTCTATTGAAATCAGTGACCAAGTTATTCCACATTCTAAGCAAAACTTTTTAATCCCATTTTCTTATTCCTTCACCCTTACCAAACCTGTTCAACCTGAGTGACATTAGCAGGCTTCCAGTTGCCCACTTCAATTCTGCTTCCTTTTTCTGTTTTTACTGTCTACTCTACTCTGAACCCCACACTCAATTTATTTTAAAATTGGTCTTCTCACCAGTTTCCATTGGTTTCTGTCCTATCCACCCTAAGACAGCCCTCAACCTTACATAATTTTCACCCATGTTTGTTAGTCATTCGTGCTTAATGAATTATCCCAAATCCTAGTGGCTTGAAACAATAAATATTTTGTTTTAATTCAGTTTGTAGTTTCTGACAAAATTACAAGTGGCTTAGCTGGATGATTTGGGGTGGGGGAGGGGGGGCAACGTTGAGAAAGGATTTCATTCCTATCATTCAGGCTGGCCTGGATCTCACTACATACCCAGACTGACCTGGAACTCACCATATAGCCTGGTTGACTTGGAACTCACCACACAGCCAGGCTGGCCTGGATCTCTTGGCAATCTTCTTATTTCAGCCTCAAATGGTCTGATTACAAGCACAATGCTG